CTTTTTTTTTTGGGGGGTCAAAAGATTTTTTTAGACCGGGAGGGGACGGGAACCACCCCACCCCAAACCCCAGGGGGAGGGGGCCGTTGGTGTTTTCATTAAGGGGCCTTTTTTTTTTCCACACCCCCTTCGGGTTGGGGGAGTTTTGGGGTTACCCCCCCCCCCCCCCCCTTTTTTTCGGGCGGCACTTCCTGGCCACAGCAGCCAGGCCGCACCCCAGGCCGCACCCCAGGCGGCACCCCCCCCCCCCCCCCTCCCCTCGCCAGCGCAGCGCCGCCCTGCCCGCCCACGCCCCTCCCACCCCTCTGCCCGAACCAACCACCCCCTCCCCTCCCCACCCGAGGTTGCGATGCTCGGCGTCGCGGCGATGGCCTCCGTCGTCATCCAAGAAGGCGACGACGCGGCGCATGCCCCGAACGACAGCAGGACCACCAGCCCCAGCGACCGCGAGAACGACGGGTGAGCCGCGCCCCTCTGGGCGCTGCTGCGGGTCGTGCCGCCTGAGGAGGCGCGCGCCGGGGTGCGGCGCGAAAGGGACGCGCGATACATCGAGAGAGGTGCCGAGCGAGGGGAAAGATAGAGAGGTTTGAGCGAGATATCAACGGCTCACTCGACAACGCGTGTGTAGTCTTCTGTCGTGTACTCCAAAAAAGTATAATTAGCAATATTTGAGGCTCTCTCTGTACTCTCCACGACCCCCCAGACGCCATTGGGAGCGGCGCGCCGATGTTCAAGCGACCGGCCTGGGGCGGGCGGCGCAAGCGCTGCGCTCTTCAGGTTCAGCATGCGTTCGCCTCTTCCCACTCACGGATCTGCCGGCGCACCATGTGGTTGGGGGCGAGGAAGGTGTGCACGAGCGCCTCGCCCGTCATCGGGCTCGTCGACTTGGTCGCGAGCCAGCGCTCGATCGCCGACCGCTCGTACGAATGCCCGTCCGCCGCCATCACCGGGTCACTCATGAGCTCGGTCGTGATCGGGCAGATGAAGTCGGCCGGCGGCTCCTCCTCCCTCGGAGCCGGCGCCTCTGCGGCCGACGACGGCCCTTGCGCCTCCGCCGCCCGCCTCTCCTCCTCCAGCCTCGCGCTCTCCTCGAGCGCCGCCGCAAGCTCCGCCTCCTCCGCCGCCGCCACCACCTCCCCCGACGCCTCCTCTGCCGGGGCCTCGGCCTCTTGCGACGGCCCAGCGCCGCCCCCGCCGCCCCCGCCGCCCTGCTTCTTCTTCTTGCCCCTCTTCTTGGCCTTCTTCTTGTCCTCGGCGCACTTCTCCGACTCCTCCTCCGCCAGCAGCGCCGCCGCAGCCTCCTCGGCCGCCCTCTCGGCCTCCACCCTCTCGGCCGCCGCTCTCTCGGCCACTGCCCTCTCCACCTTCGCCTCAATCTCCGCTCTCTTCGCCTCCCTCGCCGCCGCCTCAAAGGCGCGCTCGCACTCGGTGTGGCCCTTCTCCTTGGCCAGCTGCAGCGCCGTATGCCCGTCCAAGGTGCGCGCCGCCGTGTCTGCGCCCGCCCGCAGCAGGCAGAGCACGACGGCGGAGTGGCCCTCGTGGCACGCGGTGTGCAGCGGCGTGACGCCGTCGTCCCTGGCTTGGTCGACCGCAGCGCGGGCGCCGAGAAGCAGCCGGACGCACTCGAGGCGGCCGTTCTGGCACGCCATGAACAGCGGCGTGGCGCCGCCACCCTTGGCTTGGTTGACCGCCGCGCTGGCCTCGAGAACCAGCCGCACGCACTCGAGCTGGCCCTCCTGGCACGCGATGTGCAGCGGCGTTGCGCCGTCGTCCTTGGCTTGGTTGATCGCCGCACCAGCCTCGAGGAGCAGCTGGACGATGTCGGCGTGGCCCTTCTCGCACGCGATGTACAGCGGCGTGGCGCCACTGTCCTTGGCTTGGTCGACCGCAGCGTTGGCAGCGAGGAGCAGCCGCACGCACTCGAGCTGGCCCTTCTGGCACGCGACGTACAGCGGCGCGGTGCCGTCATTCTTGGCTTGGTCGACCGCCGCGCTGGCGCCGAGGAGCAGCCGGCAGATCTCGACATGGCCCTTGAAGCACGCGACGTACAGCGGCGTGGTGCCGTCGTCATCGGCCTGGTTGACCGCCGCGCAAGCAGCGAGAAGCAGCCGGACGCACTCGAGCTGGCCGTTCTGGCACGCCATGTACAGCGGCGTGGCGCCGCCACCGTTGGCTTGGTTGACCGCCGCGCTGGCCTCGAGAACCAGCCGCACGCACTCGAGCTGGCCCTCCTGGCACGCGATGTGCAGCGGCGTGAAGCCGCGGCCTGTGGCTTGGCTGACCGCCGCGCTGGCCTTGAGGAGCAGCTGGACGATGTCGGCGTGGCCCTTCTCGCACGCGACGTACAGCGGCGTGGCCCCGTTGTTCTTGGCTTGGTTGACCGCCGCGCTGGCGCCGACAAGCAGCCGCACGCACTCGAGCTGGCCCTTCTGGCACGCGGTGAACAGCGGCGTGGCGCCGTCATCCCTGGCTTGGTCGGCGTCAGCGTTGGCGCCGAGAAGCAGCCGCACGCACTCGAGCTGGCCCTCCTGGCACGCGATGGCCAGCGCGGTGGAGCCACGGCCCGTCGTCGCCCCCACACTCGCGCCGCTCTCCAGCAGCAGCCGCACGGCGTCGGCCTGCCCGTGCTCAGCAGCGATAATCAGCAGCGTGAAATGGTTCTGCGCCTCGAGCCGCGCGTCGAGCAGGGCCGTGAGCGCCGGGCCGCGCGTCTGCCCGGCGAGGAGGGCGCGCAGCGAGGTCAGGTCGCCCTTGGCCAGGTCGTCGGGCACGGTCGGGCTGATGGCGCCGCTCATTTCTCATTCCGGGGGGGGGAGCAGCGAAGAAGAATTTACAACTACCCCTCGCACAACACTGGGCACGGGACTGGCGCGCACTCCGTGCACCCGCCCGGCACGGCGAGGGAGGCGGCGGCAGCCGGCGGCGCAGGCGCAGGCGGCACGTCCTCCGGCGGCGCGGATAGCACAGATCTGTAAGGGGCCAGCACTTTAGCACTGTCCAGGATTGATTGATTGATTGTCCAGGCCACTCGGAAGAAGAAAGTGTGTGTGTGTGCACACACACACACACGAAGAAGAAACACAAGCGTTCGCCAGCCACGCGAAGGACACCTTCGACGGGGGTCGATAGCCGACTGAGCGGGCAGCACAGATCCGCGACTTTCCGAATCGATATGCGCGTGGTCGTCTTCGGAGGCACCGGGCTCGTCGGAAGCCACACGTGCAAAGCGCTGCTTGCGTGCGGTTGCGCAGTGACGTCCATCTCGAGAGGCGGCCTGCGTGCAGAGTCGCAGCCGCTGCTGGGCGAGTCCTGGGTCTCGCAGGTTGACTGGCAGCGCGCCGATGCTGCCGAGGATGGCGCCGCCGCCAAGGTGCTCGAGGGCGGTGTGGACGGCGTTGTGTCCTGCATTGGCTCGGGCGACCTCCAGCACGCCTCGGCGGAGGCCTGGAACGGGTGGGCGTGGTCCGATAAGAGCATCCGGCAGTGGAGAGAGAACTCGGAGCCGAACCTCAAGGTGGTTGCGGCGGCAAAGGCGGCGGGAGTGCGCCGCTTTGCGTTCGTCGGCGTCAGCTCCGACTCTGAGCGCGGCTTTGGCGGTCCGAATCCCGGCCTGTACTCGGGCAAGCGCGCCGCCGCCCTGGCCGCACGCGATGCCTTTGGAGCAGAATTCACCTACTTTGGACCTTCGGCCGTCGCGCGGCGGGCTGACGACCCGCGCATCAAGACGCTCAACGGCGGGCTCGGGCGGGGGCTGAACGCAATCAACGACTTCATCGGCGAGATCCGCTCCTTTGGGCCCGACTACACCACAAGCACGCGGCTCGCACCGCCTGTGCCGGCGGCCGACCTGGCGCTCGCGATCGCCGCGTGCCTCTCCGGCTCGGTCGCGGTGGAGGAGTCGGTGCGCGCGTCGGGGATGACCCTGTGGACCGACATGTCTGGAGGCAGCGTCACCTGTCTCGAGCGCGAGCAGACAGAGATCCGCGACGCGATGCGGCACGTCGACGGCACGGCCGCGATCCTCGAGCTCGCGGAGCGGGCGCGACGCGCGGAGCTTGATGAGGCGGCCGCCGCCGCCGCGGCTGCGTAAACGACAGACAGACACAGTGGCTGGAGTCATCGTAGGCCTGTCATGGGTGCGGCGGTAAATTTCGCACACTGTTCCACGTGAAGCCGGAACGTGGAAGACGGACCTGCGGCTACGAAGGTGGCTGAGGAGGTGGTTAGCGCCATCCTAGAACGGATTTCTGAGCGGGTGGAAGGGGGAGCGGAGGAGGGGATGACGATGAGGACGCGCCTGTGCCACGCCATGCAGGGACAGGGGGGGTGTTTGTGTGCTTTTCGCGCTTTTGTTGTGCAGCCCCTGTGGTCCGTGAGAAGAGGAGACTCAAAGAGAAGGGGCGGCGGCGAGGGGGGGGGCAGCCGTCGCAACAGGTGAGCGCACCCCGAGCCGGGGCTGCACCTGTGGATCGGCCTCCCCCGGCGCGGATCTTGCCAGGAAGCTGGAAGGGCACGAGGCAGCCCGGTGAGGTTCGTGCCGGCAGCAGACAGAGCAAGACAACGGGAGAAGGCGATCCGAGAAGCCGAGATGGATCAGGAGACCGCGGTGGCGGGTCTAGGGTACCATACTTCCGGGCGGTTGTGCGGGGAGCGAACCTTAACGACCGCCCAGAAGCTTTCTGAGCGAACCAATCGGGCCAGGATCATCAGCATATGTCCCCTCCACAACATCGTGGGCGTTTGAGCGGTATTTGAGGAGCACCGCGACTCTGTCTGCTGTGAGAGAGAGTTGTGTTGTTTACATTCTTTTGCCTGTGTTAGTGCCAGTGCGCGCCAGTCCCGTGCCTAGTGTCGTGCGAGGGAGTTTCTTTGTAAAATTCTTTTGTCGTTCGAGGGAGTTGTTTGTAAAATTCTTTTGGCGGGCAAGCGGTGCGAGAGGGGTGTCATAAAACTCGCCAGAATGGTCGTGCTTCTCTCACCCACCGTTGCCCCGCTCACGGTCGACGCGTCGCTGCGAGTCTCCTTGGTGCTGGCGAAGGCCGCCTGCGAGCCAGGAGCAGTCTGTGCTCCGGATTGGGTACTCCCTGTCGCCGCGCTGGCATGCCTGTCATTCCCGCTCGCCATTCTAATCTCGACCGGTGAGGCCGGCACGGATCGATACAATCGCGAGGTGGCTGGCGTGACGCTCCAGTCGCGAGCCGTCGACCAGTTCAAAGGGTGGATCGACGGCATTAAAGACGACGGCGACGCAACGGACCCCTCGCAGGTCCGAGATCCCTCGCAGGCCACTCGTGCACACTAGTACACGAGGTGTTTTCATTCGTTAGGCGTCAGACGAGCCAGTCACGGAGCAGGAGAAGGAGACAACGTTCTTTGACAAAAACAAGAACACCTACGGCAGCCCGGGCGGCTTTTAAGCGGCTCCTCCCGCCACAAAAGGCACCCTGCTGCGCGCTGCGGGTTATCGGTTAAGTAACACCGACGCGAGGTGAGGAGGGTGGGTGCTGGTGAATGTGGATGGTTGTGGGTGATGAGGTGCGAGGAGAGATGTGTGGCACTCATGTCGGTCACTCAAAGAGCAATCGAAATAAGGCGGTGCGCCAGCATTTTGACGCCTCTCATTCTCCCCTTCGCCCTCTCTATAGAGCCTAGTCCTCACTCCTCAGCTCCTCTCCCCCCCACACTCCTAGCTCCTTCCTCCGGCCTCTCTCTGTCTGTCCCCTCCCTCCCTCCGACGACGAGAACCCCTCCATCCGCAGAATCCCCCATACCTAGCTTCTACGGCGAGGGCGAGGCGCGAGCGGGAGATTTTGAACAGGGCATGTCCCACCATGCAGAGCGCATCTCTCTCTCTCTGTGTGTGTTGTGCGAGGCGTGAACCGCGCCATTCGCTCTCACCTGGCAACCCTGTCTGCATGTCTCACGCGCGCGTGAACAGGGCCAGCTGGCCGCCCCGTGTCGAGGCCGGCGTCCGCTAGTGAGACGGCAGCAAACGGCTCGGCGACTGGCAGATGCTGCTCCGCCGCCTCTCCCACCTCTGGCCCGATCAAGCGCTCGATGGCGCCGACCCGCTCCTCGAGGCTGCCCTCGGTCGCCGCGCCGAGGCTCGCCTCCAGCCGCTCGACACGCCGCGGCAACTCCCCGCCGCCGCCGGTCGACTCGCTGCTCACTGCCGCCTCGCACCGCGACACCCGACGCGCCAGCGCCTCCTCCTCTGCATCCACCTCTGACCGGCGCAGCGCCTCTGCTAGCTCCGCATCCTCGCGCAGCGCCACTCGCTCTGCCGCACCCGCTAGCTCTGCCGCCTCCCGCTCCGCTCGCCTCGCAGCCTTGCGGCGGTCCTATTCCCAGGGATCCCTTCCCAGCTCGCGGGGCCACTTCTTATATACAAGTTTGACCCATGACCGCCGACATGTCGCGGTCCGGCTCAGTCAAGGCAATGTCGCTCGGCGCTCGCTGGCTCCGTGGATGCTTGTGCTGCTGAGCAATCCACTATGCAGGCGCACTTTGTGGCACCCGGCGGCAACGACTTGCGGCGTCAGCATTTGAACGGTTGTGTTGATTTGCTCTTGCTCCGCGCACACACCGGTATGCTCGGTCACACACACTGGTACACGGACAGGCTGGTAAACACAGATGGTCCTGGTACACGTATGGCACATTGTACATGGTGTGACAATCCCTCGCTCACGACCCCCCCGGACCCTTCCCGGGCCAGACATGCACGTATGCTGAGTCGTGTTGTCGTGCGGCTTCGTTGTCTGCGCCTTCAGCGCTCCCCCTCGCAAGCCTGCGAAGCCCGCTCGCCAGCTCCTCCTTAGTGGAATACTCGCATCATCGCCGTCGGCACGACGCGGCACTTGGGACACCTCTCAAGCTTGGCGCCGCACCGCTCGCACACGCACTGGTGTCCGCACGGGACAAAGATGTGCGTCGCTGGCGCGTCCCAGCAGACGATGCACTCCGGTTGTTGGAGGGCATCGGCGGCGGCCCCCAGCGGCACGGCTTGGAGCGAAGCTGCTTGCTTCTCATCCTGCTGCTGCTGCAGCGGCACAGCGTGGGCGGCGGCAGCTGGAGGAGCCGCCTCTAGTGGGAGGGTGGCCTCTGGCGCGGGGGCCGACTCGTGCGGCAAGCAGCCGACGCCTGCCGCGGCTAACGAGGACTCCGCCGCCGGCGCGTGCGACGCAGCGGCGTGCGAGGAGGAGGAGGAGGTGTGCGAGGAGGTGGCGGCGGGGCCAGAGCTTCTGGCCTCGGTCGCAACCGCTGCTCCTGCATCCCTCGCAGTCCGCAGCGCCACGAGACGAGCGCACCACGCCAAGGCTGAATGCAGGTGCCGGCGGCGTTGCCCGCCCGTTACGCTGGCCGCCTCCGAACACGCCGCCGCCGCCGCCGCCGCGCCCGCGCCCGTCCTCCCTACAGCGACGGCGCTCGGCCCGCTGCCCGCGACAGCCTCCTCTCCCGCGGCAGCCGCAGCCGCCGTAGCAGCGGCAGCGGCGGCAGCAGCGGACCGGCGGCGTTGCCTCTGCCCTCGGCGCGGGGCAGTGGCCACAGAGCGGCCCCTGGTCCTTGCGAGGAGCATCGCACCCGGCGCCGCGGCAGCCAGGGGCAGCCTCGCCGCAGCAAACGACGCGGCGAGCACTGCGGCGGTGAGAAACCAGGTGGAGTAGCTAGCGCTGTCCCCCTTGTCGAGGAAGGCGGCGAGGTCGCGGTGCCCATTCTCGCGCGCGTAGTCGATAGCTTGCCTGCCCCGTTTGTCTAGCACGCCCCTGCGGGCGCCGCCGGCAAGCAGTCGCTCGACAAGCGCGTGATGTCCGCCATCAGCGGCGATCATCAGCGCGCTGGCCCCGAGAACCTTGTCCTGCATATCCAGATCCGCGCCCGCCTCGATGAAGGTCTCCACGAGACCAACGTCGAGACGGTTCACCGCGAAGATGAGAGGCGTGAGGCCGGTGTCGGCAGTCCTTGCGTCGACATCGGCCCCGCGCGCCAGGAGCAAGCGGCAGATTTCGGGCCGCACCTTGTCGGCCGCGTGGTGGAGGAGCTGGTAGCCCTCTGCATCTGCCGGTCGCGGGCGGCGAGCAGAGTTCGCGCGGTGAGCGTGGGCTGACGTGGAGCGCGGGCTGATGTGAGCGAAGGGTGGCGCACCATGGGCAAAAGCAAGCCGAGGGTCCCACGACAGCTCGAGGTCGAGAGTTTGCAGCGCTCCGCTGCTTGCTGCGAGCACCACACGTTCGGGGAGCGCCACCCGCTCTCTCGGATCGTGGCGAACGACGCCGAGAAGGGTGGCGGACAGAGCAATCATTAATGGCGGCGTGCTTTTGGCGTGCAGGCCACCTGAAGCCGTCAGAAGCCGGCACGCTACCCGGGTATATCCCCCCCCAGGGTTCCGGCTCCTAGCCAGATAGGGGGTCTGAGGTCCTAACTTCTTTTGTAATTGTTGGAGGCTCATCACACGTCGGGACGACTGGAGTCGACTCTCACAACATCATACCCTAGGATCAGACAGGTCAGAGTGTGTGACGTGGGTGGGTCACTTTGGGCCACGGCCCTCACCTGTTAGCTCCGAATGATGATCTTCCAATTCGTTCAAGAGATGAGACAATCTCCCTGCCGAGCTTGTTCACACCGCGTGTTCACAGCTCGACCTGTGCCGCCGCATGGCACTATAGCGAGATCGCAATCTCTCGCTCAAGAGATGAGGCCCTGCCGAGCTCGTTCACACCGCGTGTTCACAGCTCGACTTGTGCCGCTGCACTGCGCTGTAGCGAGATCGCGTTCTCGCTCAAGAGATGAGACGATCTCTCTGCCGAGCTCGTTCACACCGCGTGTTCACGGCTACACCCGACGACCTCGGGAACTAGCCGGGGCAGTCGGAGAAGGGGCAACTCCGTGCACTGACGGTCGGCCGTCAGAAAACACGCCTCCGTGGCTCGGGTTACACCAATCCTCGCTACCCAACGCGGCCAAAGGATATCCACCTCGAGAACCTCGAGAACTAGTTCAACGTCCGAGATGGCCGCAGCACAGGCCACGCGTCGCGCCGCCGGCCAAGCCCAGCCTCTCCGCGGTCGAGTTGGTCGAGCTGGCGGGGCCGGCGAAGATTTCGGGGACGTGACCGCAACTCGGGCAGCGACAGCGCGCTTGAGCTGCGCATGACCGACGACCCCATTTTTCGGGGTGGATTGATTAGGGCCCAGGTAGGTAGGTAGTAAGGTGAAGAACAGCCAGGCTCGGACTGGACACCAACGCGGTATGGGTGGACGCTAGACAGATGATGACGACACGCACGAGCGACACACAGACACAAGCAAGCTCACAAGACACACAGCCAGCTGGCTGCCACACACCCTGAGTCGCCGTACACATAACTCAGGGCCACATCCTCCCTGTCGCCCCCCCCAGCACTCCACGGTGCCAAGGGCACAAACAAGGGCACAAGTCAAACAACCAGCAAACAACAGACGACAGGAATTGATATGTTAGGCTAGAGCAGCGTGCTCCACCTCTAGCAATCTCACCGGCCTGCGAGGCACGGACGAGACCGTATGTGGGGTCTAGTGAGGTGTCTATGGGCCTACCTGGCCTTACAAGAAAATCTCTTCGCTTCCCCCCGGGGTCCCCCCCCTGCCAGCAATGAGGCGGGCTGCGCTTTTCCTCTGTCAAAGACGCTGCTGAGTTGCTCCGATGCTCACGGACATGCCTTCACGGTGGTGGTCGTTTTTGGCGTCCCCAGCCAAGGTCGACGCGAGCACCGGCGATGCGATCGTGCGCTGCGAGCAATCGACAGCAAGTGCTGTCGATCTCGAGGTCTCGCGTTTCGCAACACGCATCCACCAGCGGCCTCTCGCTCGCACGAACCCTTCTGTGGGAGGCATACACGCCTGGGCATTTGTCAAGGCCACCGATCCAGACGCCACCCTCACAGCAGCTATCCCGCTGCTGCTGTCCATCCTTCTCATGTACGCTCAGTCAGCGATGGTGTACATGGTTGCCTACGAGGCTGCATCCCCACGCTGTTCGAAGCACGAACACTGCCCGGCCGGAGCGTACTGCGGCCCCAAAGACTTTTCTCCGGTCTATGGGGAGCCGGTCACGCGGCAGCCGTGGCGGCACGAGAAGGCGCCAGGCTTTTGTTTCGACTGCTACTGGACGTCAGAGAACGCGTCGGGAAATTCCGTGGCCGTAAACCGTGGGCATAGCCAAGCGCTTGCCGTGCCAGTGAGAATGGAGAGTCAGCTAGTCGACGTTTGGTCGAATGCCAGCTTCGCGGTTGGCGCCGGCTGGTTCGCTCACAGTGGCGCTGAGGACCTCACCGGCGAGCAGTGGTTTCGCGACGCTGCGGCCTACTGTGATGCCAACGACATCCTACCATTTCGTTGTGACCACCTCGTCGAGCGCCAGAGCCGACTCGCCGCGGCGCACTACGTCGTCATCGTCTTCGTCGTCTTGCTTGTGTTGATGCCACTCGTCGAGGACTGGGATGAGGCTGCACTGGAGAAGCGGTTGCTCCGCCACCGCACGCGAGCCGTACGTGCTATCGGAGGAGAGCTTCCCCTGTGGATACGCTGCTTGGCCTGGGTTCACATTCGGATGCGCATGTTTGCCCTGCCGTTCTGCCTCGTCAGTGCAACGTGCGCCCTCCTTTTCAACGATGAGACGTGCACCGAATTCCTGCTAGATGGGCTCGCAATCACATTCACCACCTTCACTGACGACCTCCTCGCACAGTTTCTTCTGCCTAATGAGGAGCGTCAGGAGTTGGGTGCCGCAATCGAGGCTCTTGTTGCGGAGGAATCTGGTCACGCGTGCCCGCAGCGCTTCCTGAAGTGGCTATTCAACAGGTTGTATGCGGCGGTGCTCGGGGTTGCCGTGGTCGCCGTCAACCTCGAGCCGGAGTCGTTCATGGTCACCTTTGGGCCGGATTGGGTATCTCCATACAGATCACTTTCGTGCAAAAACCTGCTCGAAGCTTTTGGGTGCTGTATCTTCCTCTGCTGTTTCGTTATGGGCGGTATATGGCCGCTCCTGCGCGAGCAGTCCGTCCTCTCACAGCGGTCAAAGTGGCGTGCGCTCGTACATATGGCTGGCGACGGGTACTGCACGATGACACTCTTCGTTGCAGCTGGGTGGCTCAATCCGGCGAATCGTTACTATTTTCCTGCCTTTTTGCACAACCCGCTCGCCGTTATGCTGATGTGGCCGCTCTACTCCGTTCCCGATATCACTGCAAGCCTATTCGCAAACTCTGCTTGCAATGAATACGATGCAACCCGCATAGACGCAGGCGACTGTGTGCAGGCAGCTCTGCCGTGGCTGGTTGTTCGACTGGCCCTGCTTTGCTCGGTGGTCGTTCTTTGTGTCGCGGTCGCGTGGGCCCGCCGCGTCGACCTCACGGTGGGCTAACCCTCGCGCGACTCACGGCTGCATTGCCTGAGGACAGATTAGCAGCGAGGAACTAGAGACGGCCGCCGAGATTTAGTAGGTCGCCGAGTTCCAGCGAAATATGGACTCTACTATGTAAACCTTTATGTCTAGTGTGGCGGAGCATGTATGCGGCTAGAGTGTGAACGGCCTGGTTCTCATGAGTCATGTTGTCAACACTTCGCGGGTTTTTTATTTTCAGTCATGTCGGTTCCTGCTGTTGCATGCGTTGGGGCGTCACCCAGCTTCCAATCTCGTCCGCCTTCGTCAATTCATGCGCCTGCGGCGACAGAGACTGCAAGATACTCTTGTTAGGGGCGCATGTGCGATGTGGGCGCTTCGCGATGGACCAGAGCCCACCGGCCCTGGGTCAAAGCCGTGGACGACAGGACGAGAGCTCTACCTGCGGCTCGGCGAATTTGCAAGGAAGGTTAAGAATCCTTCGGCCCGGAGCTAAGTGCCTCGCCGTCCTCACAGGAGTCGCTTAGGCGGCTCCCGTGGTGTACCTGTGTTAGTGCCAGTGCGCGCCAGTCCTGTGCCTAGTAAACAAAAGAAGAAAGAAAACAGACACTCAGCCCAGACACTCGGCCACCACACAGGGATTTTAAGGAGAGGAGTGTGGTGCTAGCCGTCGCCCACAGACTTGGGCGTCTGCCTCTTCCTAGATCTCTCTTCGCAGTTTCTCGCCAATTCTCTAACACTCACACTCCAATTCTGTCTCTTTTTTCATCAATATGCTACAGAACCGCGCTAGGAGGAGGCCGAACTGCATGGTTGACGACACCGACACTAGCCGCGTGTGCTGTGAAGTGCAGCGCGGTGTTGTGGAGGAGCGTGATCCCTCCTCGTGTGCGAGCGAGCGCGTTGAGGGTTGCTGCTTGCCGCTTGCTGTTCTCGGCATATAACGTAAACAATTGTCATCATCACTCGAAAACAAAACAACATCTGAGTTCCGAGTGTAGATGGATCTAACCTCGGGGCCGCTGCGACCCAGCGCTGGTAGCGTGATTTTACCTCACACCCATGGTCTCACAGTGTGCCGGCAGTCGCCGAGTCCAGTGTCGGCTGTCGCTCACACAACTCACAAGCTGCTGCTCCCGCCGAGACAGCGACGACGCGCCGCCCAGCAAAGGCCTCGATCTTCTTGGGCAGTAGCTGGTGCTGCTGGTCGCCGTGGCCCAACCGGCCTTGCCCTCCAAAGCCCCGGCTCCAGATAGCGCCGTCGGCGGTGATGGTGAGGCTGTGCTCGGAATAGCATAGATGCCTTGCGTAGAATTTTACAACGTGTACGTGTAGTAGAACATATGCTTGTTGCTTGCCGTGGAGCCGGGGAGGCCCCCACAGAGCACAGCGATCGATCCATGCGGCTCTCAGATAGCCGTGGCCGTGTCCCCGCTCCAAGTTCACATACATTACTGCAAATGTACATGCAAAGATACACGGCATGTCAACAAACTCAAACAGAGAGACAGGGACAGGACGAAAGATAGCGTATTACACAAATGTACCGTGTGGTAGTTCCTGGTAGCTCCGGTACGAGTCACGACGCGCGGTCCTCCCCCATGCTAGATGTCCCCGCGCGCGGTCCTCGCCCACGCTAGATGTCCTCGCCGAACCATTCGCCGTGGAAATCTGCCGGCATGACGACGGGCGAGTAGGCCGTCGCCATCGTCCGCATCGTCGTCGCGTTGAGCACGAGCAGGTACGAGGCGCGCGCCTCGCCGTCGAGCATCACCGAGAGCACGACGCCGTCGTCCTCCGCCGTCGCCCCGGGGCGCGGCACAAACACTGGCTCGCTCGGATAGTGCGCTGTGCGGTACCACGAGACACACCGCGCGGCGGCCGGCTCGGGGGGGGCGGTGGAGGGAGGGCCAAAGTCGGCAGGCTCTGCGGCGGGGGGAGGGCCCAAGTCGACCTTGACGATTCCACTCACGTGTGTGGCCGCCGAGTCGGGCGAGCCGACGCTGTACACGAACCGGTAGGGCGCGCCGTGCCGCCTAATCTCGGGTCATCTCGGGTCATCTCGGGTACTCTCGGGGAACCGGTAGGGCGCGCCGTGCCGCCGGTCGTTGAAGCGGGGCATCTCGACATGCAGCTCCTCGCAGCCTCCGGGCTGGCGGCTGGCGGCGGCGGCGGGCAGAGGCCACTCGTCGTGCGGCACGGCCGCCTAGGGAGGCAGGGGGATATGCACACAGGGGACGAGGAGTCGGGCTTGGGGTCGGAGGCGGCGGCGAGGGCGGCGGCGGCGAGGGAGGGAGGAGCTGGTGAGGGAGGTGGGCGCGGAGAGGGGGGCGGGTGCAAGGCCTGCGGGTCGGTCTTGATCTTGAACGGCCTCCACCTCGCCCACGCGACTGCGGGCTTGCGGGCACGCCAGTCGCCCCAGCGGCGCTGCCCCACGCGCCGCGCGGCAGCGGGGCGCGCCTCCTCCATGTCGAGCGTGTAGCGCCGGATCGTCGGCCGCAGCGCCTTGGGCAGAGCTCGCCCCCTCGTGACCTCTGGCGATCTCGGGTGATCCCTGGCGATCTCTGGCGATCTCGGGTGATCTCCGCAGCGCCTTGAGCAGTGCTCGATCTCAGGTAATCGCGGGTGATCTCTGGCGATCTCGGGTGATCTCTGGCGATCTCTGGCGATCTCGGGTGATCTCCGCAGCGCCTTGAGCAGTGCTCGCTCCCCCGCGTCGCGCATCACCTGGAGGTATAAGGTAAGGTACACTTCTCCACTCACACAACGCGGTGTGAAGCAAGGGCCAGGCAGCTGTCGGACGCGGCTCCACGTCGAAACGGCAGGAGCCCCACGGCATTCGTGCAAGGCCCGGTGCGCGTGGGTGAGCGGTGTGTGCGTGTGTCGCCTCGCGAGGAGAACGCGCGTCCGTCCGAGCAAGATATATACGAAGAGTCAACGGTCCGTTCTAGTACGGCCGCGCATCGCACCTCGAGGTTGCCGAAGCCGCGCGGGTTGGAGAGGAACGAGCCGTCCTGCGGCTGCGCAGCGTGGGTCAATGAGGCGCGTGATCTGAAGTCAGATTGCTCGATGAGGGTTGGAGAGGGGGGCGGGGAGGGTCATGGGAGGGAGGTTCGTCGGAGGCAGGTAGGGAGGGGGAGGGCGGGAGGGTCATGGGAAAGAGGGAGGGAGAGATGGAGGGTCATGGGAAAGGGGGAGGGAGAGATGGAGGGTCATGGGAGGGAAGGCGAGCCGTCCTCGTACGCGATCAGGTCCATCGTCACCTAAGGTAAGGTAAGGGTAAACTTCTCCCCACACATGAGGTGGTGCCGGGGGGGGGGGGGGTGACCCTCGCGTCTCCACGTCTAGACGACTAGGAGCCCCACGGCATTAAAGTGTGTGTGTGTGTGTGTGTGTGTGTGTGTGTGTGTGTGTGTGTGTGTGTGTGTGTGTGTGTGTGTGTGTGTGTGTGTGTGTGTGTGTGTGTGTGTGTGTGTGTGTGTGTGTGTGTGTGTGTGTGTGTGTGTGTGTGTGTGACGGTCGCCCCCCTTGCCCCGCCACCTTGCGGCCGCCGTCCGACTCCCACGCGTTGATGTGGTGGTTCATGTACATCGGGTCGGTGACGAAGGTCCGCACTGGCCCCGCCGTCGGGGAGGTCGACTCGAGGTCCATGACGTAGACCGTCGTCTCCTGCTCGCCGCGCCACCCCAGCGTCTCGACGCCGGCGAACGGCTCCATCAGGACGAAGAGCTTCGAGCCGATCAGGTGCCTGCGTGGTGAATAGACGCCGACATGAGGGCGTGAAGACGGCATTGTGCAGCGTATTCCGAGCACCGCGTGAACACGAGGGCGGCGAATACAGCGAATACGGCGGAATACACGACTGAGTACGGCGGAGTACGTGTCCTCTCGAGCGCTAGTTGGGAGACAAGAACACGTCTTCCGCTTCTAGGACCAGGTGCGGCTCGACACGGAGAGAGCAGACCACGAGGATGACGTACCGCTCGGTCACCTGGAAGGAGTGGATCATCGGGAGGCCGTGCTCGGACAGGCGGATACGCAGCTGGCCGAGGAAGCGGCGCCGCGCGGCCGCGCCGCCGCCCGCCGCCGGCGCCGCCTCCGGCAAGGGGTCGTCGCGGTAGACGGAGACCACCGTGGAGGAGAGCGAGAGCTTGTCTTGCCGCACCTCGACGCGGCCGACCCACCCGACTGTCGCGCTGCCGTTGACCACGCGCTGCTTGTGCGCGCCAGTCACGGTGTCGGCGGTGCGGCGCGGCGCCTCCATCTCCACCTTGAGATGGCCCGTGCTCGCCAGCGTCTCGAGGTCGAAGGTGTTGCTCGCCACGCTCGTGTCGGACGAGGCGTGCACTGCGCCGCCCGTGCTGCCGATGAAGATGTTGGTGTTGTCCGTCACTGGCTCCTCGAGGAGGGCGCGGACACGCTGGCAGGGGGTGTAGGTTGGCTCGACGGGCAGCATCGTCACGAGGGCTGGCTCGGTCCAGAGCGCCCACGGAGAGGAGGGCGGCGCCGCCAGCTGCGTGCGGTTGTAGAGGTGCGACTGCAGCATCCGCGACTGAAAGTGGACGCCGTCGCCGTCGACGCGGTACTTGGTCAGCTTGGCGAGCCCGTCTATCTGGTGCTGAAGCTGTTGCCGGCCGACCTCAAAGCTTCCCGGGCCGACTCGGACGAGCGATCCACGCAGCCACTTTGGGAGGGCGCCGTCCACCTTGAGGCGCATCGGCGTCACCACCTCGGTCGCGTCGCTCCGCCACCAGAGATCGTAGCCGGCTGCGTCGCCGCCCGTCGGTGGCTGCTGCGGCTGGGCCGGACGGGCGGCGAACCGAGGTTGGCCGCGGAGAGGGGGCCGCCACGCGCACGCGAGCAGAGCAAGGGGGGTGCACATTTTCCTGGACGGACGCCGTAGCAAAAGAATTTTTTCAACGAATTTCCCGAGGCGAGAGGGAGCACAGCAAGGAGGAGACGCGGGGAACTGGGAGACTGGGACGACTGGAAACAAGAAGACAGTGAGCCACCACAGGCGTCGTTGGCACACATACTGAGCGGCAGCTGCGCTGGAAATAAGGAAGAGGCGCGTCACTTCATGCGGAAGCTCGACAAGCACACAGCGAGGGCGACAGCAAGAGTTGAACGGGAGGCGCCGGACTCAAAAGACACCGCCACATTCCTGAGACGAGCGAGGGCAGCCTCCTTAAAGGCGAAAGGGTCTAGATTTGGAGCGCTCGCCGAAGAGGAGTACGACAAAATAGCGCCCGTGATTGCCTGCACGCTACCCGCACTCACGGACTCCATACCCGAAAGAAAGAGAAGGGAGCTCGCGGGAGAGGTGACGAGTGACCTACAGGTAGTGGGGAAGGCAGCCTCGATTGCCATACAGACATGGGTGCGAAACAACGACAAGACCAAGGCACGGGCAGAGGAACGAGAGAAGAATATAGGGTGGATAAAGCGCCTGTTCACGGCATGGAGGGTGAGCCACACCGAACGTACCGAGCGAAGAGCCGAGCGGAAGGAGGACGGGGAAGATGACTCCGAGGAGGACGAACCAGTGGAAATCCAGTTGTCAGATGTCACGATGCATCCGAAGGGGACCCAGACGAACAAAACGGTCAAGGACGCGCACTGGCAGTGGCGCGAGGCGTGTGGCGCCGGCTCGCGATGGCATGCAGGCCGCTGCGAAGGTCGGGGAGAGACTACCATGAGAGATTAGGGAGAGGCAGACGCCCGAGGGCGACGTGGGAGACGGCTACCTCATCAAGACCTGGTGGCGGGGTGCGACACCTGAGCAGGTGCTCCAGCCTTCCACCCAGTCGGGCGCACCGACGTGCATGAGCGCTGAATGACTGAAAATGACTGCTGCAGTGCCGACGTGACGAGGGGAGCCCCCCCCCCCCTCCCCCCCGTTATGTGATGTGAATCATTGTGTGTGTGGAGAAGAGTTACTGTACTTTTACGTTACTTTATACCCCCACGCGCGCGCTTCCATCGAGATCAGAATCTCGCGCCAATCTCGTGCAACGTCCCCAATCTACACCACGGATTTTTATGCGAGAAAAGAATTCAATAAAGTTTATTTCGTTTTTGAAGATGTGAGGAAAGAGTCGCGCAAAAGAGGCGACGCGGCTACGCACAATGTGCGCTCGCATTGGATGAGCCCTGCTGATGGACCTGCGTCGCCTAGCTGCACGAGAGCAATGCCGCAGGCAGTGGCCGTGGCATACACTGCGAGCACACTTGGTGCAGCTGCGAGGTGCAGCAAGAGCACGTCGTTCCTGCCTCTGATGCCACTCTCGCGGCTTGCAGCGCGTCACTCGCGCATGCTCTCCAGGAGCTATGACGGGCGCGTGTGTGGGGCTGTAGCCTGTGTTTGGCCGGTTCTGACCCGTTTACTATCAGTATCATGTCCGGGCCACAAAAAATCGCACACGGGTAGCGGCTCAGGGGCCCAGTAAGTCGCGGAATCGCCAAATGTCACAACCTGCGCCACCCAGGGCTGGACCCACGAGTCGTCAGCTGGCAGGGCAAGTGGCGGGGCGGGGTGGAGTGTGCCCTGCGTCTTTACCCTGGGATTTCTCTGCCCAGTCCGGGGTTGGCACATCCGGGTGTTGGAAGTAAAGATATATAACTTTCTATCACGGACTGCGGACTCGTCGACCGCGCCTTGGCGTGACCCGCTATTTCATATATAACAATGATCTGTGTGTGTGTATGAGTGCGAGTGTGTGTGAGTGTGTGTGTGTGTGGAGAAGCTTGTGTGTGTGTGTGTGTGTGTGTGTGCACGGCCCTCACGACTCGAGGCCTCCGTCCGTCGCCTCTCGTCTCATCGCCGTCTGGACAGCGGAGTGGCGAGGCGGCTGTGTGCAGGCGCCGCCTCTCGACTCGAGGCGTCCGTCCGTCGCCTCTCGTCTAGGTGACCCGCCGGACGGACGCCCGGTCATGCCGCGCCTGCTTCCAGCCTAGTGCACATGCCCTGCAGCTGGTCCCTGGTCGGCACGTCGGTCTGCATCATCGCGCCCTTGAGCATCTGCACCGCGTCGGCCCTACGAGTGTCAGGAGTACGCGGGCGTCTTCGGGAGCTTGCGCTTTGTACAGTCCGAGTCTACGTGCTAGTATGAGCCCGTATTAAGCATCTGAACGTCGCGCAGGTCGCTCCCGCCGTCCGCCTGCTCCTGCGCGACAGCACCCTGCAGCGCCATGAAGCCCATCATCGCGCCCATCGGCCCCTCCGGGAAGCCCTCCTCCTTGAAGAAGCCGCCGAGAATCTTCGTGATCTCCGGCATCAGCTCCTGCGTGAGTTACGAGCACCATGAGCGTCAAGGTTCGCTCTTGAGCTGTGAGCTGTGAGGGTCCGCCCGCAGGCGTTTTGGAGTAGGTCACGCCTGCGCCCGCTCGTCCGCTTCGGTGGTGTCTGACTGGGCAGCGAGCGCGTTGAGCTCATCCTGCTTCGCGGCGAGCTCCTTGATGACCTTCGCGAGGGCGCACTTGGCCTCGGGTACCGTGTACTTGGCCTCGGGCTGCATTTGGCGCACGCGCCAACCCTCGGCAAAAAGGAAGAGTCTGGACGTGTTGGGAGTGTGAATACCCCACTCGTGTATATAGAGAGATGTCCCTGTTGAGTACTGTCCGATAGTCGAGATGCCTTGTTCCAGAGGGATGTGTCCTGGACGGCGTCTCGTCGTGGTCCTTCAGGACGATAGCTTTGTCCCTTTCAGGACGATGGTGATCTTGGTGTGATCGCTCCTGTACGCCTCGGTACAGACCCTCGCTCCGTGTACAGCTCACAGCTCACTACATGGTTCCTCTGGTGGTAATCTGCCTCGCGAGCCCACCGCTCGGCCTTGTAGTCATCTAGAAAGTTGGCCAGCGCGGGGGCAACGAGATGTTGACGAGCAACGAGCGGGCCAAAGGTTTGGCCTCGGCCCGCGTCCGGCGTGGCGAGTACTCCATGCACTGCGCTCTTGCCGCAATCGCGCGGCGGAGCCCTCGCATGCAGGTTTGCGAGTGGCAGCGGCTCCGCGCCGCCGGCCGAGCCGCGGCGCTCCTCGACCTCACTGCGCCCGTCTATTTCCAGATGCCAAAGCCCCCGCGCTGAGTTGCCACCTCAAGCGTTGAAAAGTTTACCTTCGCGTAAAATTCTTTTCAGAATGAGCAGCTGAAAATGAGTGAACCTGCGCGGCTCACGAACTTGGTCGTGCGCGGCTACCACTTTTCTGGCCGGCAGCCTACGATTGTGTCGACCATCGCAGGCGCATGCACATCCTCATTTGCAGGCACGGTGTTCTCTACCGACTTTTGCGGAATGATGCGGGCTCTCTCAGGATCAGACAGCTTTAGCGAAGGCGATCCGGCCGCCTACAGCGATCTGGCACGCCGTCTTCTGGTCCCGCCAAGTCTCAAAAAAGAGGAGGCGCGCGCCGAGGCGGCGCTACAGTCGGTTGTGGCAACCATCGCGTCGACCAACCCTGACACGATCGACAGCTCTTTGATGCGGCGCTTTGACGATGCAAACTTGAAGTTCACGCTTGCAAAGCGCGCAGTCGACTCGATCGTTGCGAAGGGCTCGCGTGCACTTCGAGAGCCCTTCGGCACCGGGCGCCGCGTTGCAGTCGTCACGAACATCGTGGCCCGGCTTGGGTGGGTAGTGGACGGAACGCTCTTATCGGCGGAGCAGAGGTCAGAGGCGCGCAGCCTTCTCCAGTTTCTCAAGGGTGCGGCGGAGGCTGAGGAGGGCGAGGGCGAGGGCGAGGAGGACGACGAGGACGACGAGGACGAGGGGAAGGCGCCGGGCGCGCGGGGGTCGCGGGGGGCAGAAGCCGGGGGGGGGGAGGGGGCAGGGGAGCGGGCAGGGGATGAGGAGGAGGCGGGCCTGGACGAGAAGCTGCTCACGCTCAGCAAACAGGCGCGTCTCTCGCATGCAATCCCTCGACGTCTTGATATTTAACCTGCTATATTCAGAGTTAGGTGGATCAGTACATGAAGAGTTCAAAAATCACGTTGGACAACTTTCTCCGCGTGTTGGCCGGCAACCCGACTTTGGAGGTCCCGTCATCGGACAACAACGCCTTGTCGAGACTTCGCTCAGCTTCTCGCTTCTCAAAGTCGCATCACCACGTGCGGGAGCGCGCCGTGCGATCCTTGGGGAAACAGGTTCTAGCCCCGTCCCCCGATCTAAGCCGCACCTCTATCTCTTAGTACCTCTGTCCCTAGTCTCAGATCCTTGCTGCCGTCGAGCTGGAGCCGACACCGCTGCCGGAGCTGAAGGCGCTGCTGGCAGGGGACGCCGCGGTGTGCGAAGTGCTGCCGGACACTGAGCCACCTCTCGTCTCTCTCGTCAGCCCCAACTTGCGAGGGCGGGGGTTCCGTTCCCTCCACAAATGGTTCGATAGGCCTCACTTCCCGTCCCGATCGCTGTCGCTCGGCGTTCCGGGGCTGCTGCTGAACTGGCTGGACTCGCTTGAGTCCCCAGATGAGGTCGAGGTTGCGGTGCGGCAGCTGTACACAGATCACGCGGCTCGCTGCGGCTGGTCCAGCGAGCCGGGGCAGTGGACCAGGGACACGCCGGACTTGGGCTGTAAATTGGTATCGTGGCTCCGAGAGTACTGTGTGGCGGAAGACTTGCACGCAGCCGTCGCCGCCACTGCCTTATAGACCCATAGCGGCCCGCGTCTCATCTCTTATTGTACTTGTCTAATATCACTCTACACTAATGAGTATTTTACCCATTGAGGCCGCCGGGCTGCATTTGGCGCGACGCGAGCCGCGGAGACGCGCCACTGCCAGCTCTCCTCACCCCACCGCCCGATCCCCCCACCCCCTTGCTCCCCTCCCCCCCTCGGGAGGGCCGAAGAGAGGCGCCCGTGGGGACCCCGCAATTCCCTTTCCCCCTCGGAGGGCCGGACTGCGGCGTCGAGGGCCGCCCCGCTCTTTCCTTCGCATAGCGGCCACTCTTCTGATCGCTGGTCGAGCGACCCGGGGGATGCCCCGCGCGCCTGACCCAGGCGCGAAAACGAATCTGCGAGGCGTGGCCGCCCTGTGCGGCCCGGTGGGGAGGAGTGGGGCGGACCGCTACGGCGTACGGGGATCGCGGCCTCTTACACCGCCCTTCCCCCGCAGCGAGCCCCCTCCACAATGTCCAACCCACCCGCGCTCTAGGTCTCGGGGGACGCAGGGCTCACTCCCGCAGGTAGGTAGGTAGAAAGGTGAAGAACAGCCAGGCTCGGACTGGACACCAACGCGGTATGGGTGGACGCGAGACAGATGATGACGACACGCACGAACGACACACAGACACAAACAAGCTCACAAGACACACAGCCAGCTGGCTGCCACACACCCTGAGTTGGCGTACACATAACTCAGGGCCACATTCTTCCTGTCGCCCCCCCCAGCACTCCAAGGTGCCAAGAGAAACAAACAAGGGCACAACAAACTCCCGCGCGACCTCGGACACTACGTAGCTGGGGCAGTCGGGCAGAGCGCGAGAGAGAGCGGCTCTCTTACTTTTCTCTGAAGGGGGCTAGCTTTTACACGCATCCGCTCGAGTCTCGTACTTCGTCGTCACAAATATGTTTACCCCTCGAGCGCCCCGATCGCCTCCGTCACCGCCCCCACGAGCCGCGACGCCTCCCCCTCGCTCCGCGGCCCGTCCCTCCTCCACCTCGCCGCGTCGTGGTGCCTTGCCGCGTTCGCCCAGATGCGCAGCGAGTGCAGCTGGCTCCGCAGCTCGGTCGGCAAGCCGCACTCGCGGTGCCAAAAGTTGATGCGCTCCTCGAAGCCGTCTGGCGCCGCCGCAGAGCGCGAGGCGTACGCAGCGTCGAGGCGCGGCATCAGCGTGTTGAAGGCGAGCAGCATGTTGCCCTGGATGCGCGCCTGTGAGTCGCCGCCCGTGCGCATGCCGCGCACCTGCACCGAGAGCGGCGAAGGCTCGTACCCGGTGGTGCGGGCGGCTGCCGCAGCGGCCTCGTCTCCAGGTGCCGGCGCAGCCTCCTCCACCCCCGCCCCGCCCTGCGCGCCAGGCAGCAGCGCCCGGAGCGTCGTGAGAGCCACGGGCAGCGTGCAGCGGTTGCGCAAGCTGTCGTGACAGAGACTCTTCTGCCCGTCTCCCGCCTTGGCGAGGTCCTTGACAGCGCGCGCCGCCGTCTCAGGCCACCCCGCCGCCGCATCTGCGATCTGGGACGCGTCGATGTTGGTCCAGAGTCCGTCAAACTCGTCCTCGCACCGGTCGGTCAGCTGCACCTCGGACCGGCTGGTGAGGCAGACGAGGAGGGTGATGCCAATGGCGTAGCCGTCCGTCTTGCTCGAGTACTCGCCCCCCTTGGAGATGGAGGGGCAGAGGTAGCCAGTGGACATGTAGAGGGCGTTCGAAGGGCAGCGGACAGACGCGTCCGGACGCTGGTCCTTGGCGAAGCCCGTGTCGGCGAGGACGGCGGTCAGCTTCTCGTCGAGCAAGATGTTGTCCGGCTTGACGTCGCGGTGCACGATGCCCTTTGAGTGGAGGTAGACCAGCGCCTCGGTCGCCTCGCACGCGACACGCACGCGCTGCTGCCACGTCAGCGGCCTCGGCGGCTCTTCCATGCCCAGCCGCCGGAGCTGCGCAGCGCGGTCGGGTTCTGAGATGCGCAGCCGCGCCTCGAGCGAGCCGCCGCGCATCAGCGGCGAGAGGAGGCAGAAGCGTAAGGCCGCTCACGTCGCCTCTCTCGTACGTCGCGTCGACCCGCCCGCCGCTGTCAAGCCACGCCAGCAGCGCCGCCTCCTCGCCTCGCTCAGCCGCTGCCACGACCGCATCGGGGGCTGCCACGACACCGCTCGACGCCCGCTCCGCCGCCGCCGGCGACAGATTACCGGGATGCACCCGCACGCTCTCGCCGCCGCCCTCAAGCGCCACAGCGTACCGCCCGCCCTCGAAGCTCTGCGCCACGCCCCGCTGCCCGTTCAGCTCGGGGCGGGAAGAGAGCCCGCCGAGCACGACTCGCTGTCCGAGCAGCAGCGGCGCGTCCACCGCTGCCGCTGCCGCGCCCGAGGAAGCGCTGCCCGTCCCTGCCCGGCCGTCTGCAGCCGCCGCCGCCTCAGCCAAGACCTTGACGCACTCGACGTGGCCCTTCGCCTTGGCCAGCTGCTGCGCCGTGCTGCCGCGTACATTGCGCGCCGCCATGTCAGCGCCCGCCCGCAGCAAGCGCCGCACGACGGCGGGGTGGTTGAAGAGGGCGGCGTACATCAGCGCGGTGCCGCCGTTGCTGCTCTGCAGGTTGACCTCAGCGACGTGCTGCAGCAGCAAGTCGACCAACCGCTCGTGGCCTCCGAGGGCGGCGATCATCAGCGCAGTCCAGCCCTCGCCATTCTGCAAGTTGATCTCCGCGCCGTGCCGAAACAGCAAGTCGACCACCCGCTCGTGGCCTCTTTCGGCGGCGCACATCAGCGCGGTGTAGCCAGCGCTGTTCAGCAGGTTGACCTCAGCGCCGTGCCGCAGCAGCAGCTCGACCACCCGCTCGCGGCCTTGGCTGGCGGCGAGCATCAGCGCGGTGCTGCCGTCGCTGTTCTGCAGGTTGACCGCTGCGCCGTGCTGCAAAAGCAACTCGACCACCCGCTCGTGGCCGTAGCGGGCGGCACCCATCAGCAGCGTGAGGCCGCTCACCTCGCCTCTCTCGTACGTCGCGTCGGCCCGCCCGCCGCTGTCAAGCCACGCCAGCACCGCCGCCTCCTCGCCTCGCTCAGCCGCTGCCACGACCTTGTCGGAGACTGCCACGACACCGCTCGACGCCCGCCCCGCCGCCACCGCTGGAGATGGCGTCTTCGCGACTCTTGATCCAGCCGAGGAAGCGCCGCCGGAGGAAGCGCCGCCTGCGCCTGCGCCGCCGGCTGCCGCCGCCGTGGGCCGTCCCGCCACCACCTCCTGGACGTGCTTCTTGAAGGCCTCGACGCACTCGGCCTTGCCGTTCTCCTTGGCCATCTGCTGCGCAGTGCTGCCGCGTACATTGCGCGCCGCCATGTCTGCGCCCGCCCGCAGCAAGCGCCGCACGACGGCGTGGTGGCCGAAGAAGGCGGCGGTCATCAGCGCGGTGTAGCCGTAGCTGTCCTGCAAGTTGATATCCGCGCCGTGCCACAGCAGCAGCTCGACCACCCGCTCGTGGCTGTGGTAGGCGGCGCGCATCAGCGCGGACCAGCCGGTGCTGTTCTGCAGGTTGATCTCCGCGCCGTGCCGCAGCAGCAACTCGACCACCCGCTCGCGGCCTGCGCCGGCGGCGCCCATCAGCAGCGTGACGCCGCTCACGCCGTCTTCTTCGTACGTCGCGTCGACCCGCCCGCCGCCCTCAAGCCACGCCAGCACCGCCTCCTCCTCGCCTCGCTCAGCCGCTGCCACGACCGCATCGGGGGCTGCCGCGGCACTGCTCGACGCTCGCCCCGCCGCCGCCGGCGACAGATTACCCGGCCGCACCCGCACGCTCTCGCCGCCGCCCTCGAGCGCCACAGCGTACCGCCCGCCCTCAAAACTCCGCGCCACGCCCCGCTGCCCGTTCAGCTCGGGACGGGAAGAGAGCCCGCCGAGCACAACGCGCTGCCCGAGCAGCGGCGCGTCCACAGCTGCCGCTGCCGCGCCCGAGGAGGCGCCGGCCCCTGCCCGGCCGTCTGCAGCCGCCGCCGCCTCCGACATGACTTTGACGCACTCGGCGTGGCCCTTCGCCTTGGCCAGCTGCAGCGCCGTCGTGCGCGCTCTGTCGGCGCCCGCCCGCACAGTCCGGTGCTGTGCGGGAGGCGGTCGCGGGCACGCTGGGCTCGATCAGCTTTCCCTAGCACGGACAAGCTCGATCAGCATCCTTCACGCCGTCGGCGCTGGCCGCGCTGCTCCGAGAGCATGCGCCGCTGCACGCGGGTGAATCGCACGTCACGGGTCCGAGAAATTCTTTGAGTAGCAACGAGCTCATCCGGTTGGCGGCAGCCGCGGATGAGCGAGGCGACCTCATCTCGGCGGCGGATCTTCACTTGGATTTACTCGAGCTCACCGGCGACAGCGACACGTACACTAAATCAGCCACCGAGCGGTTGCAGAAATTGTATCCAATGGGCGATGCGTCGCGTGTATCGCGCAACCATTCGGACACGTTCCGTACTGCTGTGGAGCAGAGCGTGGCCGCGGGCAAGGCTGAGGTGCTCTCGGCTTCGCCACCCGTGTATCTCCTGCACGACGTGCTGAGTGCGACCGAGGTTGCGGATCTCCGTGGAGTCGTCGCGCGCCGGCGCGACTTGTGGGGCGCATCGCACCCGCTCGTGTGCTTCCAGCACGACGCGTTCACGGGACACCCGGGCCTCACTCACGCTTTCGACTGGATGCGTGGGCGTCCCGGCGCAGGCGGCCGCGGCTGCTTCGCGCAGGCCGCCTCGCGTGCCACCTACGCGCACGTGCCGTGGAGCGAGAGCCTCTTTGTGTACCGCGGGCAGGAGGCCCTCTTTGACGGCATCAGCCGGCGCGTTCAGGAGATGTCCGGCTTGCACGATACACACGCCTACAGCTGGCAGGCCCTGACTTACGAGGCCGGGCGCGACGGCGGTTACGCCGACCACACCGACTGCGAGCACGCGGCCGACTTGCTCGGGCGCGGCGAGCGCATGGCCACGCTGCTCGTGTACCTCACGGACGACTTCGACGGCGGCGAGACGGAGTTCCCCAAGCTGGGTTTGAAGGTCAAGCCGCCCGTGGGCTCGGCCCTGCTCTTTTACAACTTCGGGCCGGGCTGGGGCGGCCGCGCGTGCAGCGCGGAGGCGGCGCACCGCTCGAACCGCGTGACGCGCGGCAGCAAGGTCGTGCTGCAGAGGTGGCACTCGTACCAAGAGCAGCCGTTCCTCGCCGGCCGGCCCATTCTGTCGCAGCGTGGCCGGCGGCCGTTCCAGCCCGTCGTCTCGTGCGATTATGTGAGCGGCGTGCGCACCAACGTCTCGTGCCGGTGGTACAACTCGGACGTGCCGTGGACGACGGCCTAATACTGTTGAAGGATAGTAATAAGGCAGGGTGGTCGGCGAGGGCGCCCGGAGACACGGATGTGTTCATAACCCAAAGCAAGCTTTTACGTATCCACGGCCCCTCAACGCCGACGCGCGACGGAGAGATTGCCCCAAAGTCGCTCGGCCGTCCGCCGGAAAGAATTTTACAACGAAACTCCTTCTCACGACACCGGGTACGGGACTGGCACTGCAAAGGCGACGGCTTAGAAGCCGTCGCCCTCACAGATGATGCCGTCCTCCTAAAAAGAAATCACGCAGCGTGGCTGCAGCCGTCTATCGCCGCCTGCCCCCCCCCCCCCCCACGGCGGCGCGCCAGGCGGCACATTTGTGCGAGTTGGAACGCAACGACGCGCTCGCGCGTGGGCAGCGGTTCGAACATTCGCTTGTCATGGCTGAACAGCTGGCGGCTAACGAAGTGGCCTCGGTCAAAGAGAAGCCTCCTCCGCCGCCGCCGCAGTCCTCCGCCGACGGCGCGACGAGAGCGTTTGGGGCCATGGCGCTCTTTACCGCTGCCAAGGCCGCCTACGACAAGGTTGACCCGCTCGACGCTGCTGCGCGGGAGGCGCTGCACCAGAAGTACGCGGCCAAGGCGGTGACGCTCGCGCGCAAGCAGGGCGGGGTCTACGTCAAGGCAGCGCAGCAGATCGCCTCACTCCAGGGAGGTTCGGGCGGCGGCGGCGTGCCACCCGCCTACACGACCGCTCTCGCAGAGCTGACGGACCGCGCGGCTCCACAAGACCTGCGCCTCTTCGAGGCGATGATTGCGGAGGAGCTGTGCGTGCCCGGCTGGACGGTCGACGCGCCCAGTGGCAGCGGCCTTGCTGCAGTGCGGTGCCCCGCCATCGCCGCCGCGTCGCTCTCTCAAGTCCACCGCGCGAGCGCGGAGGACGGCAGCGAGCTCGCGCTCAAGCTGCAGTTCCCCTGGCTGGCCGAGCAGGTGCCGACCGACTTTGCCGTCTTCAAGATGGTTGCCGGGCAGATGCAGCCGGGCGGGTTCGACGTCTCGTGGCTGGTCGACGACCTGCAGAAGCACGTCCTCTCGGAGCTCGACTTTCTGACGGAGGCGCGGCACGCGGGGGAAGCGGCCGCCGCTCTCGCGCCGCGGGGCGAGTCGGTCCTCGTCCCAGCGGTGCGAATCGCCACCCGCCGGCTGCTCGCGACGGAATGGGTCGAGGGCTTGCTCCGCGTCGACGACGCCGCCGGCCTGGCCGCGGCGGGGATCTGCCGCCGCGCCGCCGGCCGGCTGGTGGCGGACGTGCTGCTGGGAGAGATGCCGCTGCGGCACGGCTTGGTGCACGGCGACCCGCACTCTGGCAACGTCTACCTCCGCCGCCCCGCCGCCGCCTCCGGCATCCCCGAGCAGCTGGTCCTCCTCGACCACGGCCTGTACCACCACCCGCCCGCGCAGCTGCGGCTCGCCGTGTGCAGGCTGGTGCTCGCCTGCGCGCGGCCGTGGGTCTCGAGCGAGCGGGTGCGCGCCTGCGCCGAGCCGCTAGCAAACGAGCTCTGGCCGCTGCTGCCGCTGCTCCTCTCGCCCGCCTTTGCGCTCGGCACCGGCCTATCTCTCTCGGACTTGGGCGAGGCGGCGGTGGGTCGGATCCCGCCGTCGGTCGGGTGAGAGACGCCGAGATGCAGCCGAGATACAGCCGCGACACAGCAGAGGTACAGCTGAGGTGCAGCCGAGGTGCAGCCGAGACACAGCAGAGGTACAGCTGAGGTGCAGCCGAGGTGCAGCCGAGGTGCAGCCGACACGGCCGAGGTGCGGCCGAGGTACAGCCACAACATTGCGCCGCAATACAGCCTAGAAACAGCCGCCCGCCCCCGGTCTTGGTGGCGGCGCCATACTGTGAAAGGGAAGCGCGAGACAAGGAAGCTGCGAGTAGGTACGAGGCGGTGTGGCGCGCGCTCGTCGCGATCCACGACGGCGAGATCTAGCCGAGATCTAGCCGAGATCTAGCCGAGATCTAGCCGAGATCTAGCCGAGATCTAGCCGAGATCTAGCCGAGATCTAGCCGAGATCTAGCCGAGATCTAGCCGAGATCTAGCCGAGATCTAGCCGAGATCTAGCCGAGATCTAGCCGAGATCTAGCCGAGATCTAGCCGAGATCTAGCGAGGGCGACGAGCAGAGCCTTTCTCGGCCTGAGGAAGCAGCAGGATCGACTCATCGGCATCCCGTCCGCTATTAACGACTGCTAGGCGACGGGCAGAGCCTGCTCGGCCTGCTCCACTCTCTGGGGTATGTGCGCGGCCTCCTCAACTCCTTGGGCACGCCCGAGCGCGAGCGCGTGGCCGCCCTCGCCACGCACGCCGCAGCCGCCCTCGCCGAGGCGGGCGAGACGGCGCCCTCCCGCCCCCTCGCCCTTCTTCGCGTGCATGCTCTCTTCTGGGTCCTCGCCGCTGCGCGATTCGCCGCCGCCGCCGCGTCGCTCGCCACCGCCCGCCTCGCCGTCGCGGTCGCCCTCGCCGCCGTCGTCGCCGCCGTCGCGGTCGCCGCCCACGCGTAGCCGCGACGAGCGCGTGTAGGAGGGGGCTTTGCGATGTAGGACTAGAACTAGCGCACACTTGCGGGCCAACTCAGCGCGCAAGATTGGGGTCAGAGGCAGCTCAGGTGTTAGGGCGCAGTAGAGTAGTCATTGCGCTGGCTGGCGAACGCGGTGCCGAGGCAAGTTTCAGGTCTGTGCACCGCAGCAGCTCCAATCAGACACTAAGCTAAGTCAAAAAAACCGAGCCGATCGGAGGGGTCCCGCGTACGAGCGGCCGCACACACTGAGTAGAAGGATCTGACGTTCTGACCTCGGGGGAGATGTGACCAAGCGCTGGTGCAGCTGGTAGCGTGGTTTAATCTCACACCGATGGTCTCACAGTGTGCCGGCAGGGCGGAGCAGACGCGCAGGGCGAGACGAGGGAGGGAGCAGGATGTTGCGGAGATCAGCAGGAGGATGTACGACGAGATTAGGAGCAGCAGGGACCCGAGGACTGGTTGGGTAGTAGTCTAAGTTCTGAGCCTCGAGGCTGAGCGGGTCTAAGTGTGACTAGTCACGCTGGGGTGCTTACGCGGTCTAAGATCAGCGAGAGCCTCTTACATCGGCTAAGTCGGCCGTGGCACAGCCTGGGGCCAAGAGGCTCCCACCGTGATCAACGATACGGCGCTAGCCCCCAAATTTTCTTCGCCTGCGGCGGGCGCCTTCTAATCCGGATCGATCCTTCTCATGCTCAGCAATCGCCGCCTCAGCATCCTCCTCTTCCGATTCTCGTTGCTCTTCTTGAGCGCAATCTTCAAGCCAAACAGTTCTCACAAATAGCCTCAAGCTCAAACAAACGCATGTCAAGGAAGCCTGTGTATGCTGGTCCTCTTTGAACGATCCGCGCGTGAGGTAGATCTAGCATAGGGCCTTGTTGGCAGCAGCCAGCTTGTTGCGCTGCTTCGTTGCGATGAGCTGATTGGGATCGCAGAAGTGCATGCCAAGCACCGCCACGATCTTGAAGCAGAACACATCGCAACCGCATCGTCCGCACTGCCATCGGCATGCCGCGCCCGCCGCTTCGCCGCAGCCGCCTTAAGACACGCATAGCGGCAGCACATGGTACGGTGCGCGTACTTGAGCAGGAGTTGCGCGCCGCAAGTAGCGCACTGGCCCTGGGACAAGGCGATATGGCGTCGTGCGCGGCATACGTTGGTCGGGACGCGTCCAGGTATTTTTCGGGTAAACCTGGACTTTTGCAGGTATACCCGGGTTTTACCCGGATTTGGCCTTGTGCCGTCTAAGTTCATGGCCCCCGACCATACAGCGTCTAAGTCCGAGCCCGGCTCCGTGCGGGGGCTAAGTTGAGCGCTCGCTCGCTGCAGAGGCTAAGTGTAGAGCGACCCTCTAGCCCTACTACCCAACCATTACCCGAGGGACCATGTGGAAGACACGGCTAGTGCTAGTCCCCCATCGGGAGGACGACCCCGGCTAGTCGCCGACCACACCCACAAAGAACCCTGCACAAAGACCGCAGGGCGGGGACCTGTTCCTTTTTACCCATCTCCTAGTAGAGGTGCCCGTTTTATTTATTTATTTATTTAGTGTGCCGGCAGTCGCCGAGCTCAGTGTCGCTCACACAAGCCGCAGCACTCTACACACACACCGTGAGCGTGACGCCTCTTCGAGCCACGGGACGGCCCCGAGCCCTCTACAGCAAGCCAAGGAAAGAATGGAATCGCGCCGTCGCCATCGGAGCCACCTCCTCCCAAGCATTTGTGGCCAGGTCGTACCGCTCTACCGTGTTGCCCTCGTCCGCCTCGTCCGCCTCGTCCGCCTCGTCCGCTTCGTCGCCTCCCACGGCGTACAGCTTGCCGTTGAGCACCGCCATGGCGTGAGCAGCCCGAGCCGTCCCCATCTGCGCCACCTCCTCCCACGCATTTGTCACGGGATCGTACCGCTCCACCGAGCTGAGGCGGCCGCCGTCGCCGTTGTACCCGCCAACAGCGTACAGCTTGCCGTCGAACACCCCCAAGGCGTGTTCCTGCCGCGCCGACGCCATCGGAGCAACCGCCTCCCACACATCCAGCGCCGGGTCGTACCGCTCCACCGAGCTGAGATGGTCGCCGTAGAACCCACCCACAGCATAAAGCTTGCTGTCGAGCACCGCCACGGCGGGAGTAAACCGCGCCGTCGCCATCGGCGCCACCGCCTCCCACGCATTCGTCGCCGCGTCGTACCGCTCCACCGAGCTGAGCGTGTCCAGTCCGGCGTCCAACCCGCCCACCGCATACAGCTTGCCGTCGAGCACCGCCGCGGCGTGAGCCTGCCGCGCCGTCGCCAGCGGCGCCACCGCCTCCCATGCTCTCGCAACCAGGTCGTACCGCTCCGCCAGGTTGGAACGCTCCACCGCCTCATTCCTGCCGCCCACCGCGTAGAGCTTGCCATCCAGCACCGCCATGGCGACATACAGTCGTGACGTCGGCATCGGCGACACGGCCTCCCCCTCCCACTCATTCGTTGATGGGTCGTACCGCTCCAGCGAGTTGAGAAACTCGCCATCGCTGTTGTGGCCACCGATCACGAGCATGCGCGGCCTCTTGCGCTTCTTCAGCGTCTCCTTCCAGCCGCGGCGCCACGCGCGGCACGTCCCCTTGGCGGCGTGCGCTGTGGTCGGCAGCTGGGCGAGGATGTGCGGGGCGAGGTCCGGCGAGAGGAGGACCTCGGAGAGCACCCACTCGGGCTGCTCCACGACCCGTGCGGCGTGCTCCTCCGCCACGCGCAGCGCGGCGGCGCTCCAGAGGGGCGCCTGCTCGTCGATGAAGGCGACGAGCTGCTCTGGCGAGAGGCCACACAGGCGGGCGCCGATGCGGTGGGAGGCCATATGCACACACATATGCAGACTTTCGCGAAAAAGAAACGGCGGGCGTGATTTTTTTCATACTTTTTGATTAGGGAAGCCTGGGGTAAAAATGATAAAAAGAAAAACCTGCCGGAAGAGAGCCTGCCGAAAGTAGGTCTGCAGTGCGATCTCTGGAAGCCGGTGATGCTCATCATCGCGCTGCTGCCACTCGCGCGGTCTATCGCGCTCCCCGCTGCAGTCAGCCGCGCAGTTTGGGCATCGCACCACCTGTTCGAGCGGCCGCTGCAGTCTGCCGTACTCGAGGATCTGGCGAATGTGAAGGTCCCTGCCGAAGAAGACCGCGAGATTCTGGCCTTTGCGGCGCGGCCAAAGGCGCCGCCGGGTGGGGCCCTGCCAGTGCTGCTCGTGCTTCACGAGTTCTGGGGACTCTCCGGCTCGATTGTGGACAAAGCACAGGGTCTCGCTGACGAGCTGGGCTGCCTGTGCATCGCGCCTGACTGCTTTCGCGGCGAGACCACCGACTTCGTACCAAAGGCGATCTGGCTTGCGCTATCCACACCTCAGCAGCGCGTCAACGCAGACTTGGCCGCGGTGCTGCGCTGGGCCGCATCGCAGGACGGTGTAGCGGAAAACTTCCCAGTCGGGGTACTCGGCTTCTGCTTTGGAGGTGGCAAGGCGATTGGCTTTACGACTACAATGCGCCCTGACGCGGCGACCGTCGTGTTTTATGGCGAGCCGGTACTCAAGGTCGAGGCTCTGGCCGCACTGAGCGCTCCCGTGTGCGGCATCTATGGGGCGGAGGATCCGCAGCCAACAACAAACCGAGCGGCAGCGGCGCGCTTCCGGTCGGCGCTGGCAGAGGCTGGGGTCGAGCACGATGTTACTTGCTACGAAGGCGTTGGGCACGCCTTTTGGAAGGACATGGGGCAGATAGAGCGACGAGAGACGCCACAAATCGCGGCGTGGCGGCAGAGCACCACCTTCCTGCGCACCTTCTTCGACGGGTGACCATGAGCATGGTAGGCCGACCGGCTACCGACAGCCGGGGTCTTAGTGCAGCGAGAGCCGGTGCCTCCCCCCAGAACCTTCCGAGATTTAAGTTTATTAAATACACCGCGATACTTCTTTCCTTTTGCACGTGCCATGGGGCGCGCAGGCAGGCAGGGGGGCGGGGGTCAGGGCCAGGGAGCAGGCCAGGGGCCAGGGGCCACAGGGGGCCGCCACCATCTGACTTCTGAGAATTGACAGCTCACCAACGGTTGTGCTGCTCTCCATACTGACGGTTGTACTCCAGTTTGCTGTACCCCTGCGAAGCCCCCTGCGTCCAGCAGTACTCGTTGTGACGATAGCCAGACTGTTTCCCCTCGCTGAATGTGAACCCTGCATCACTGCACTCATGAGGCAAGTAGCCCGCCTGCTTCGCCTCCGCACACGAGTAACCCGCCTGCTTCATCTCCGCCAACGAGTAACCCGCCTGCTTCATCTCCGCCAACGAGTAACCCGCCTGCTTCATCTCCGCCAACGAGTAACCCGCCTGCTTCATCTCCGCCAACGAGTAACCCGCCTGCTTCGCCTCCGCACACGAGTAGCCCGCCTGCTTCGCCTGCACACTCGAGTAGCCCGCCTGCCGGAGCCCCTCGAGGAGCCCTAACGAGCGCGCCTCCGAGCACGCGAATCCGAGAGCCTTGAACGGCTTGGAGGTCTTCGCGCCGCCCGTGATCTTGGCACTCGCCCACCGGGCAGTGTGAAGGCTGCTGTTCGGGAAGGTGCAATCGTGGAGTGCGGCGTGGCTGAGATCGACGTTCGACAGATCGGTGGACGCAAAGTCGCAGCGCTGCACGCGCGCATGACTCATGTCGACTCGTGCCATCTGCGAGCCCGCACAGCGTGGCGTGATCGAATGTGGCGTCCGTCAGGTCGCACCCCGCGAAGGTGCACGCTTTGTCGATGACCATCCGGCTGAAGTCCTCGCCCGAAAAGTCGAGCCCAGAGAAGTTGGTGGTGCCGGCCTGGTAGCGGTCGAAGAACTCGCGCGACGACATGCCCTTCGAGCTTATGTAACCCGCCATCCTCAGCTCGTCCGACGACCACCCGGCGGCCTTGGCCTCGAGCAGCGGGTAACCAGCTTGCCGCGCCTCTGCGCACGAGTAACCAGTCGCTCGGGCTAGCCGGCAATCGATGCCGGCCTGCTTGATCTCACGAAGCGCATCGCGTCGCTCCACAATCTCTGCGAGCGTTGCAGGGCGCGCGCTGCCGCTGCTTCCCGAATGCTTGGGCTGACGTTCGAGCGCATCAAGCCGGGCACGAAGACTCCGATTGTCCGTCCGAAGCTCGTGAACCTGCGTGAGCAGCGCCTGCATCAGCTCTGCCGAGGCGTTCTGCTTCGCATTCACGAGCTCCGCGGTGGCGGCCTGCTTCGCATTCACGAGCTCCGCGGTGGCGGCCTGCTTTGCATCCATGAGCTGCGTCATTGCGTTCTGCTTCGTATCCAACTCGTTCGTCGCCTTCTCCAGTTCGTCCACGCGCGCGAGCGCGTGCCCTACCAGCTGCTCCATTCGCTCCATCACGGGAGGCCGACATCGGTCCCCCGGTCCCCCCGCACTTCGTACACGGGTTAGGCGCGAGACCCGAGACACACGGGTTTTGCCGCTCTCAGTTTGGCAACACGGTAAGACACAGGCGGCGAGGCGTGACCGGCGTGTCATCACAGCAACAGATACGGAAGCCCGGCGGCAGTCATCCATCCAGTTGTTTGCTCGAGCTCACCCACCCCAGTCACCACCAGCCAGGGCTCGTCGATTTGGCGCGAGCCAGCGCTGAAGAGTGTTCTCTCTGTGGTGGGCGATGGACTTGCTTCTCTTTCATTATTGTGGCCCTAGTAGAAATTGCAGACACACGTATGCATAATGCAACAGAATGATGCCTCCGCGGTGCGGCAAACAGACACCGGTGCGGCCTGGCTCATGAGCTGCCAGCTGCGGCCGGGCCGCGCGCACCGCCGCCGCCATGCGACGGCTCACTTGGGCTCGTTGGGCTTGCGCGCGGCGACAGTGGCTGCCGCTGCCGCCCAGGTCAGCCACACGCCAGCGACCATCCCCGTCATCGCGGCAAGGGCCGTGGGGTGGTCGGCGCTCTTGATCAGGGCACCCTGGTTGAACTTGACCTGCCGGGTGCGAGCGAGGGGTGGGGCGCTCAGATGGAGCCGGTGCAGAAGCCGTGACGGGCAGCGCGCCGTGAGGAGCGTCTGCGTCGAGAAGAGGCCCATGAGCGTGACTGGCACCATCGCGTTGGCGGGGCACTCGTAGTAGATAATCTCCCACGCGATGGTGAGAGCCTCGACAAGGTGCGAAGCAACGGCAGTGCAGAGGATCGGCACGTTGGTGTAGAAGAGGGCCGGCGCCGTGCGCAGGATCGCGTACGCCATGTTCTCGGTCATGAAGCGACGGTGGGTGGGTCCGAGGTTTGGCACCCGGGCGAATCCTGCGTAACCACCGAGGGCCCACGGGAACTTCTCCGTCCGCTGGGCGTCGCTGGCGGCCTCGTCGACGAACGGAAGGACGTTGATGATGCCCACGTCAAGTACGAGGCCGTGGAAGGCGAACCTGAAAGCGAGGGCGACGTGAGAAGGAGGTGAGAGGGCGACGTGAGAGATCGACGTGAGAGATAGAGCGTGAGAGCTCGACGTACATGCCACGCATGGCTTTGAAGCTGCCCGGCAGCGCGGCGATCGCTGAGAGGACCATGGTTGCGAGGGTCGCGAGAGGCTTGCGAGAGCTTGCTTGCGAGCGGGGTGCAGGAGCTTTGGATTGTACAAGAGAGCGCCGCGCACGTTTTTATTTTATTTTTGAGCTTAGCCTTCGATGTTATGAAACAACGCAAGGCGGACATGGCATATCGCTCTCGGGCCCACAGACATCCCGCACACTCGCCGCACACCCGCCGCCCCCGCGCGCGCCCCACCCCGGCCGGGAGAGAGGGGAGTGACAGTTTGGGACGGCAACAGAACGAGTATGTTGAGTCCTGGCTCAACAACGCAGAGAGAAATGAAAGCCGTCCGGCTCACAAGTCCGGCTCACGCGCCCCGACTGACCGATCTACCGCACTGATCACTTCCGCCCCCTCGCTCCCAACCCATCCACCTCGCCTCGGGCCGCGCCGCGCGATCTCGGGCGATCTCGCGCCATCTCGGGGCCGCGCCGCGCGATCTCGCACAATCTCGCGCTATCTCGGAGCTCCACGCCACGCCGCCCCCCCCCCCACCCCCCACCCCACCTCACCCACCGCCGCGCCGCGCTATCTCGGGCGATCTCGGAGCGTCGCTCGCGCGGCGTCACACCTGCTCAAAAAAAGGAAGGGCCTGGTTGGAGCCACGGGGCTCACGAGGACGTGTTCGCTCGGTTCTCGCCGCCTCGCCCTGCGCCACTTGGGCCGGTGAGGCGGCGCCCCGCGCGGCGCGTCCCTCGCCCCGTCACGCCGACCCCTGCGCGCACCGCTCATCTTCAGCCCTCTCGGGGTTACTCTTGCGCTCACGCAGGGGAACCCGGCGGTACTCCCTTCCCCCCACCTCCGACGGGTTAGGTCGGTTCTGCGCCCCTTTGGCGCCTGTGCATGTCCCGCGTGCCCGCCCGCCTGCCAGGGCTGATGCCAAGGCCAAATCAACAACATGCCCGGCTGATGCCAGGGCCAAACCCACTGCCCGAGCCTACCTTCGATGACTTTGTATTCGCCACAGAAAGAAAGAAAACAGATAACCCAAGGGAGGGATGGGTATTCGCCACACGCCTCCCGACGGCAAACACCTATTTCTTTTGCAGCGCCCTGAAGCGAGCGAGAGAGAGCCGGGCGCTGACTGGCGCGGCTGCCGCTCCACTCCCATGGCCTCGCTGACGCCGAGCGAGGTCCGCCTTCTTGAGTCTCTCGACGACGCCATCACGGCCGAGCTGGCCGCGTGCGACCCTGCGGGCAGGCTGTGCGGGCCAAAGCGGAGCGCTGTCAAGCTCGAGCTACTGCAGAATTTCTTCGAGACGCTCGCATCAAACAACCGGCTGACGCTGACCGCCGCCGACCGCGGCCGCATCCGCGGCGCCGTGAGCGCGTCGCTGCCGGCCCGCTTTGTCCGGCGCGACCGCGTCGTCTGCAACGTTGGTGGTGCGCGGCCGTGGGAGGCTGGCGTGGTGCACGCTGTCCACGAGCCCGACCCGGACGACGGCTCAGGGCGGCGGAAGTTCGCCTATATCGTGCTGACGGACCCGCCAACGGCTCGGCTCGTGTCGGTGCCGCAGGACAGCAACGACCTGATCCGTGCCGAGGTCTGCTTTGGCCAGCGGGCGGGCGCCCTCTGGTTCACTCTCCTTAGATGCGCAAGACCAAGCGAGCGCTAGGGAACCGATATGCCTTACCACCTAGTTCGTGCAGTACTTGTGTACAATACTCGGGCCCCGCTAGCAAGTCATGCACAGGGAGGGAGGGAGAGCAAACGACTTGGAGCCTCACAGCTGAGCTCACCCAGAGAACTCTGTTCTCACCCAGAACTCCTTCTGATGCCTGAGACTACCCGAGACTACCCGAGAGTACCCGAGATTACCCGAGACTACCCGAGATTACCCGAGATTACCCGAGACTACCCGAGATTACCCGAGATTACCCGAGATTACCCGAGACTGATAAGTAATGCCTCTCTCTCTCTTCGATGCCGGCCCACACATCACGCCCCCGGCTAGAGGTATCCGTGGCGGCGGCCGCGAGACTTGCTCTGCTCCGCCGCCGGCAGCCGTGGAGGGCGTCTGTTCACACCCGCGATGCTGTGAACAGGTTCACGCGCATGAGCCTGCCGCAGGCCGCGAGGCGACGGTGCGACGCAGCCCGCTGCTCAGAGAGCGAGCGCTGCTCAGAGAGCGAGTCGTGCCGGCCGGCGCGGGTGGCGGCGCCGCGGCGGGGTGCGGCGAGAGAGGCCACGTGCGGCGGCGGGCGCCGCTTCGGCGTCGGCGATCGTGTCTCGTGCGCCGTTGAGGACTCGTCTGGTCTGCTGTCTGACTGGGCGGCAGGCGCACGAGATTGCGCCGAGATCGCGCCTGAGATTGTGCCGAGATTGCGCCTGAGATTTCGCCGAGATTGCGTCTAGCCTCCTGTCTGACCGGCTGCAGATGCGGAGATACCGCACGAGATTGCGCCGAGATTGCGTCGAGACTTTGCCGAGACCTCGCCGAGCGGTCGCCACCGTGAACAGCGTGTCTTCACGGCCGCCGGCCGTGAACAGGCACAGTCCGCGCCGTCGACGTCTTTCTGAAGGGGGCTGGCGGCATTGCGGGCGGCGTCGTGGCGTACGACGTTCGGCTGGACGGAGGAGGCGGGGACGGAGGCGAAGGCAGAAGTGGCGATGACGAGTGCAGGCAGTGCAGATGCGGGGACGGCGAGGGAGGTGGGCACGGAAGCGAAGGCGGAGATGGCGGTGGCGAGTGCAAACAGCGCGGCGGCGGCGTGGCGTACGACGTCCTGGACGAAGGTGGAGGCGGAGGCGGCGACTGCAGTGGCGACGGAAAGTGCGAACAGCGCGGCGGCGGCGGTGTGGCGGCGGCTCGCTGCAGCGGCGGCGGGTGCCGAGAGCGGTTGCACCGCGGCGTGCACTGGTTGTGAGCGGCGTCTGTGCACATGGCGGGGTGTGCGTGTAGGCGGCGCGTGCTCGTGCACCGCGACGTGCACTGGCTGGTGCGCGAGATGAGCCGAGATTACCCGAGGTTGGCCGAGATTCGTTGTGTGGCTGGTGCGGGAGATGAGCCGAGATTACCCGAGGTTGGCCGAGATTCGTTGTGTGGCTGGTGCGGGAGATCCGCCGAGATCCGCCGAGCGTAGTTGCGAGCGGTGGCGGGTGCGGGCGATGTTGCGGCCGCCCCCGCGCCCCCGCCCGCCGCGGACGGCGTTTCGCCACCGGAGTGTGCGCTGTCGGGTCGGTGCGGGAGGTGAGGTACGGCCTGATCTGACCTCGCCTTGCCTCAGGTGCGTGAGCTGGCGCTGCAGCCGGCCGGGCCGCGCATGGCAAAGGACGGGTCTCGCCGCGCTGTCGGGGGGTGCGTCCGTGCGCGGGTCCGGTAATCAACTACTCTCGGCTGACGAACCCCAGGTCGCGTGCTGTCTCGCGGATCGCGAAGAGGGCGGCCGCCGGCGGCACTGCCGAGGCAGTCAGTCTCGGCTCACCTCGGCTAGCATGTCGGCTCCTCTCGGCCCTCCCCGGCTAGGCGATCGGCTAGCACATCGACTAGCACATCGACTAGCACATCGGCGACTTTGGACTCTCCTCTTCCCCGCTCTCCTCGGCTCTCCTCGCCCCTCCTCGGCTCAACAATCCTCGGCGATGCGGCATTCTCCTCACCTCGGCCAACCTCGGCCAACCTCGGCTCCCCGGCTGACCTCGGCTGACCTCGGCTGACCTCGGCTGACCTCGGCTGACCTCGGCTCCTGTCGGCTCCCCGCGGTTCCTCTCGGCTCATCTCGGCTCCTCGGCTCATCTCGGCTCACTCCGTGGCTGATCTCGGCCGATCTCGGCTCATCAACCATCGGCCGAGTGTCTCGCCCTTTTCTCTCTCCAGGTCGTCGACCACGCGACGCGCCGCGTGCGCCAGAGGCCGGAGGAGGAGGGGGGGGAGCAGGAGGGGGAGGAGGAGGAAGGGCGGGAGGGGGCGGCTGTCCCAGCCGCGTCGGCGGCGGCTGCAGCTCTGCTCGGAGACAGGTTCAGGTTCGACGGCGCCGGCGCCGGCGCCGGTATTGGGAGAGAAGGAGGGATGCGGGTGTGTGTGCCAGCGAGGCCACACGAGAAAAGATGAGAGGTGTAGCGGCCTCGGCGATAACAAACTTCTTTTCTGCAATTTCCCGACAGAAAAACTCTGGGCCGGCGCGGGGCCCCCCGGAGCGCGGAGGCACCGTGCGCCGCGGCCCGCGCCGCAGTGCGGAAACGGGGCTCCGGCGCTCAGAGTCGCTCAGAGCACCGACTTCCCGAATGGTTACGGTTGGTTAGAGGGCAGATTTGGAGAGATCTCGAGGAGTACATACAGATAGACCCTCCAACCATCAGAAAACTCCGACCTGATCGGTCGTACTGACCGCCGACAGATCACTCCAGACAGCAGACAGGCCGACGTCTGCACGCGGCCGGCCGGGCGAGAGGCTTGACACGATCCGACCCTGCGACCCTGACGCTGCTGCTCTAGCTATCAGCCATGCACTGCTGACTGCTGCCACAATGTGCGACCTGTGCTGGCCCACTTGGCGGCCTTCCCGGTCAGTGGTGAGGCGCAGTTCAGACCCCTCTCCTGGTTGCAGAGGCGGCGGCAGCGAGGCCGAGGGAGGTGGTGGAGAGGGGGGCGAGGGTGATGGTGGAGGTGGCGACAACGGCTGTGGAGAGGGAGGCGGCGGAGGAGGCGGAGGGCTCGGTGTCGGCGGCAACGGAGGAGGTGGCGACGGTAACGGCGAGGAAGGGGGTGGGGGAGGTAACGGCGGCGGGGGGGGGGAGCAAGGAAGGGGATGGCGGAGGAGGCGGAGGCGGGCGAGGAGGCGGTGGGGGTTGGCACGGCGTTCGATCACATCGCTCATCAGATCGTTTGACTAACCAACCTGGCGCGTGTGTTGGGTGTTGCAGCTGGGCCCTGGGGTCACGCGCCAAAGGAGCGGCAAACTTCGAAAACGCAACGCGGATGGGCAATCTGCATCGGCAGGGAATGGCATCTGATTCGATTTTCCTGCTAGCGTTGCGAAAGAATTTTGCAACACAAATGACGTCGCGGGCCACCTCGCCAACGCGTACTGTCTGACGTAGCGGGTTGAGCCACTGACTGCGCGCTGGCGGTGGCGCCATCTATCTCCATCCATCCATGGAGTTTGGAGCTTGATTGACAAAAAAGAATTTAGAATGCAAAAAACTCGCGGCACAAGCACGGGAGTCGGCTGTCGGGGCTGTCGCACTTAAAGTACAGTGGGGTATGTATCCGCTCAGACGATCTGGCGGGCCTGCGTCGCTGACGCTTCCACAAGGTCGTCGCCATTCGACGGCTTCGTCTTTGTCAAGGAGCCGCGGATCGTTAGAGCGAGGGCGGTGACGCGATGCACGCGCGACTGGGCTGTCTGCTTGGTCGCGCCGAGCGCCTTTGCGAGCAGGGCGAGCGACACCTGTCGGTGCGGGTCCGCGTGGCAGCCGATGGCGAGGTCGTGGTACAGCCCATCGGCAATAAGGTCGCGCGGCGTTACCTCGAAAAAATGCCCAAAGATGCAGCCGTTGCGGACGGCGTCATTCTCGTGCGCCATTACGATCGGCAGCTTGGCGCGGCGCGCGGCGCGCACCTGCTCTGCGAGCGCCTCGGCGCCATCGCCGGCCCACGTCAACCTGTTCAGGTAGAGCAGCATGTGCGTCGCCTCGCCGCCGCCTTCTCTTCTCGCGCGTCGAGATAGCGAAGGGAGGAGCGAGGAGAGGCGCGAGGAGCGCGAGGAGCGAGGCAGCGCGGATAGGCGCGAGGGCGCTGCGTCGGGGATCGAGATGCCGCCAGCCACGGCCGCCGCGACCGAATTGGCGAGCTCTCGCGCCCCGGCGTTCAACGTCGAGGCCCAGAGAATCACCGGCTTGGGGAAGGCGAGGCCGTCGGCTCGGATCTCGCCCGGGATGCACAGGGGCAGCTCGTCCTCGCCCGCGTACTTTGGCGTCTTCAGCAGTAGCGCCTCGGCGATGACCTTGAGCGAGACGTGCTGGAAGGCCGCGATCCGATGCCACACCGCCATCGGCCAGCCGGCCTCAAAGATGGCGGCCTGCAGCTCCTCGGGGCACTCGGACCGCAGCTCGGCGAGTGTGCCCCCGCCCTTGTCCGGGTCTGCCTCGTGGACGAGCACGAGCGGCTTGCCCATCTCCAGCGCGGCGCGGACCTCTCGCAGGCAGTTCGTCGAGCGCAGGTAGCCCCGCGACAGGAAGCAGAGCACCACCTGCGAGCGACGAATGTACGCCTCCAGCTCTCCGATGTTTTTGAGGTCGTCGATGTCGAGGAAGATCTCGCAGCCGGGCAGGAACTGCTGCAGCTCGTTCTTGATGACGGCGACGGCGTCCTACACGCAAGGAAAGGCAGGTGAGGTGCCTTCACCACACACGCAAAGCGGTGGGGCAAGGAAGTGACAAACCTGGCCCGTGCTCCAGACGTGGCTGAGGAAGAGGTGCCACTCCTGGCCGTCGGCGAGGGTGATGCCGTCGCGCATCGGCTCGCGCTTCGACGAGACGAGCCGCATGGTCTTCACCCTCGAGGCGCTGACCGCCGATATGAGGATGACGGCTAGCGAGACGGCGAGCATGACTGCGGTGAGGGCGACGGCAAAGGTGGTGGCGCCGCGCGAGGTCTTGTAGCCAACGAGTTCGTAGCACATGTCTTCGTGCACGGTGCTGTCGCAGAGCTGCGGTGGCGGGGGGCGGGTGGTGTGAGGTTGCGGAAGTCAAGAGGGAGCGTGGGGGAGCGCGAGGGAGCGCGAGGAATTGCCATCGCGGACCTGGATGACCACTCCCGACACGAAGCAGCAGGTGAGGAGCAAGTTGGCGATGCACGCGAGGCAGAGGTCGTCGAAGCGCCGGTAGGGGCGGGCGAGCGCGAGAATGGTGAGAAACATGGCCGAGACGATGGCGGCGACCACGGTGCGCAGCAACTTCCTCGCGCCGTACTCGTGGTCGATGAAGAGCACCATCGAGGTGAGGAAGATCTTGCGGAACAGGTCGAACACCTCCCAGAAGAGGAAGCGGGCAGAGTAGTCCCGCCAGAGGAAGCTCGTCGCACGAGAGAGCGGCGTTGCGCGCTGCGCAGCCACGGGCTTGCGGACGCGGAGCAGCAGCGCCAGGAAGCCGAGCGGCACGAGGACGGGCCAGAGAGCGAAGTAGGCCCAAAAGTACGGCGCGAGTCCCCTCACAGTCTCGTCTTCCCACGTCGGGCCGGCATCGCACGTGAGCGCCAGGTCGGCAAGCAGGTAGCTGATGCGCTGGCCTGTCGCGTCGTCGTAGCGAAAGGACTCGCACAGCCTCGCACTGAAGATGGAGCGCGAGACGGAGGGAAGCACGAGGTAGAAGATGAAGATCGCCCAGTAAAGGAGGCGGCCGAGCAGCTGGCGGTCGAAAGCCTGCTTCTGCTTGACATTGAGGACCGCCGCCACCGCCACAATGGCGAGCGACACGAAGGCGACGGCGAGGTACGGCCAGGTGCCCGCGACGAGCAGCCGCGTGCTCATGGCTCCGATGCAGGGGCCGGGGATGGCAACGTCAAACAGGTCCAGGCTGAACAGCTTGAGCACGTCGAGCCAGCGCGTAAAGCGCCCGTGGAGGCGGACGCCGTAGACGAGGCCGAGGGCGCTGCTCACCTGGTAGAAGCTGACGAAGACCTTGAACTTGGGCTGCAGGCCGACCGCGGACTCGATGCGGGTGGCCCGCCTCCGGAGGCGGCGGGAGAAGGGGAGGTGGTGGAGCCGAGCGTAGCTGGCAGCGAGCGCTGCGATGACGATGGCAAAGATGGCAAGAACGCCGGCGGAGCGAGCCGTCGAGGGGCAGGCGACGCAGTGCCCCTCGGCTGAGCTGAAGTAGTCCGAGTCCGCGACGCAGACCTCGCAGAGCGGGCCGGTGTGGCCGGCGGTGCAGTAGGGGTCGTCATCTCCGTCGGTGAGGCGGCGGCCGTGGGAGGGCTGGCCGGAGCCACCAGCACATGTCTCTGAGTCACAGCGGTGGAGCTCCGAGGTGGCGTTGGAGGCGCGCCAGTAGCCGGCGCCCACGCCGAGGGACGCGAGAGCGGTGCCGGCGCTGCAGTTGGCGTTGGGCGGGCACGGCCTGCAGTGCTCGGTCGGGTTCTCAAAGATGTCGTCTGGATCGGCGCTCGAGTCCTTCAAGTAGAAGCCCTCCTTGCAGATGGAGCAGGTGACGTCGCCGCTCTTGGAGCTGAGGGGGTGGGGGCAGAGAGTGCACTGCGAGAGGCCCCCGCTCGCCGCGTAGCTGCCCGCCTCGCACTCCTCACACGCGGTGGTGGAGGCTGCGTAATTGCCTTTGGGGCACGGCTTGCACGCGGACATGTTGGCCGAGGGGGCGATGCTACCCGGAGCGCACGGCGCGCACGTGTCGCTGCTTTCCGCACCCTGTGTTGCGCTCGCGGTGCCGGCGGGACAGAGCTCGCACGCGGCGCTCGAGCTGGAGCCGTTGGCCGGGTTGAAGCTGCCCGCGGGACAGGGCTCCCAGACCATGCGTGTGGCGGCGCCCGCCTCCTCGCAGTAGCCTCCGCGCGGGCAAGGGTCGCAGGCGGAGAGGCCGACGTCGGGAGAGAAGGAGCCGGCGGGGCAGATGAGGCATTGCGCTTGGGCTGAGAGGGGCTGGTGCTGGCCGGGGGCGCAACGGAGGCAAAATTCCTGGCTGGGCGCCCCGATGACTGGTGAGTGTCGACCGGGAGGGCAGGGCTGAGGGTCGGCGGTACCCTTTTCGCAATAGTGGCCCCTGGTGCACTGGCCGCTGCAAGAGGAAGTGGTGAGGCCGCTCGTGTTCCCAAAGTAGCCAGCGGGGCAAAGGTAGCACTCGGGAGCGTTGACGTCGCCCTTCAAGGCGCCCTCGGTCGGCATCCAGCTGCCCAAGCGGCAGTCCCAGTCTATCGGCGAGTCGGTCTGGATCGTGACACCGTCGTTGCCGGTGAAGGAGGCGTCGCTTATGGAAGAGCGTTGAGTGAGGACTGACAGGTACAGCACCGAGCCTGACCTAGCCGCTCCGTTGTTGATGAAGTCGACACCCGCGATGGAGAGGGACTCGCTCTTATCCGCGTAGACGACGCCGCCCCACTGCGGGTGCGAGGAGAGCGGGGTGGCAGCCGCTCTCTCCATCTCTCGCCCCGCTGCCGTGCTGTGCTGCAGGGCGGCCACTGGCTCTATGCGGCGCACCTGGCCAGCCGAGCAGCCGCTCACGGTGGAGTCCAGTATCGAGACCGCCCCGCTGCCATGCGCCCAGACGACGCCGCCGTTCTGCGGTTGCGAGGAGAGAGCGGGGTGAGGCAGCCGCTCTCTCCATCTCTCGCCCCGCTGCTGTGTGGCGCTGCAGGAAAGTGCGGCTAGCTCTAAGCGGCGCACCCCTTCCTGGCTTAGGCCAGTAGCCGAGCAGCCCGACATGTTCGAGCTGCTTATCGAGACCGCACCGCTGTTCCACGCGTAGACGACGCCGCCGTACTGCGGTTGCGAGGAGAGAGCGCGGTGAGGCAGCCGTCGCTCTGTCCATCTCTCGCCCCGCTGTCGTGCGGCGCTGCAGGCTGCTAGCTCTACGCGGCGCACATTGCCAGCAGAGCAGCCCGACACGTTCGAGCTGGTTATCGAGACCGCACCGCTGTTCCGATACGCGTAGACGACGACGCCGTTCTGCGGTTGCGAGGAGAGAGCGGGGTGAGGCAGCCGTGGCCCTCTCTACTTCTCACCCCGCTGCCGTGCGGCGCTGCAGGGAGGGCGGCTAGCTCTACGCGGCGCACATTGCCAGCAGAGCAGCCCGACACGTTCGAGCTGGTTATCGAGACCGCACCGCTGTTCCGATACGCGTAGACGACGACGCCGTTCTGCGGTTGCGAGGAGAGAGCGGGGTGAGGCAGCCGTGGCCCTCTCTACTTCTCACCCCGCTGCCGTGCGGCGCTGCAGGGGTGCGGCTAGCTCTACGCGGCGCACGAAGTAAGCATAGCAGCCAGTCACGGTGGAGCCACTTATCGAGACCGCACCGCTGTTCCTCGCGAAGACGACGCCGCCGTGCTGCGGTTGCGAGGAGAGAGCGCGGTGAGGCAGCCGTCGCTCTGTCCATCTCTCGCCACGCTGTCGTGCGGCGCTGCAGGGGTGCGGCTAGCTCTACGCGGCGCACAAAAGCAGAGCAGCCTCTGACCGTCGAGCCGATTATCGAGACCGCACCGCTGTTATACGCGTAGACGACGCCGCCCCCGGCCTGCGGTTGCGAGGAGAGAAGCAGGGTGAGGCAGCCGTGGCCCGCTCTCGCCGGCCCCGCTTTGTGCGGCGCTGCAGGGGGGTGCGGCTAGCTCTACGCGGCGCACCTCGTCAGCCGAGCAGTCCCGCACGGTCGACTCGATGATCTCGACGTCGCCTGCGCCCCACGCGTACACAACGCTGCCGAACTCCGCCGTCCTCCCGTTGACGAGGGTCAGCCCCCGCAGGGTGAGGCTGCAGCGGCCCCTGAGGGAAAAGAGCCCGGTCTCTCCCTGGCCGTCGAGCGTCGCGCCCTCGCCGCTGCTCGCGACCGTCACCTTGATGTTGGATTCGCAGCTGATCTGGCTGCCCAGCTCGAAGTGCGCACTGGGCGGCAGGAAAATTGAGATGTTGGAAACAGCCCCCTCGATCAGGGAGCGGAGATCGTTCTCGGTTTCCGCGGCGACATAGCCGGGGGAGAGCGGCGGCAGCGGCGGCGGCGGCGGCGGTGATGGCGGTGTTGGCGGTGGAGGCGGTGAAGGCGGTAGAGGCAGAGCAGGCGGTGACAGCGGCGGCAGCGGTGACAGCGGCGGAGCGAGAGGCGGTGATGGCGGTGATGGCGGTGATGACGGTGGTGGCGGTGGCGGCGGTGAAGGCGGCCGGGTCGCCCAGCAGATCTGACGGCAGAGGGAGGCGGGCATCAGAGAGGAGATCAGAAAATGGGGGGAGCGAGAGGGACCAGGGGCGCGCCTTCCAGCCCGACCGGACGTTGATGCCATCCGATCGCCACTTAATGACGCCGTCTTTCGCCACCGCGCCCTCCGGCCCCGAAGTGCCGCAGTACTTTGCGCCGTTGACGGTGAGGTAGTCGCATCTGCAGCCGAATGCGCATCGCTCCACATGAAAGCCGACAGTCTCCAGCTCGACCGGCGGCACGCCGCTGATGGTGCACTCCTCGTTGTCGCCGTAGCCGTTCGGGTAGTTTGGCGACGTGGCGCACGAGCCGCCGTCGGTGAGCGAGCACGGGCCGGTGATGAAGTAGCCGCCAGGAAAACCCGGTGAAGGCGGCGGTGGAGGCACCAGCGGCGGTGAAGGCGGCGGGGACGGCGGTGAAGGCGGCCGGGTCGCCCAGCAGATCTGACGGCAGAGGGAGGATAGGCATCAGAGAGGAGAAAGAAGGGGAGCGAGAGGGACCAGGGGCGCGCCTTCCAGCCCGAACGGACGTCGATGCCATCCGATTCCCACTCGATGACGCCGCCCTCCGCCACCGCGCCATCCGGCCCCGACTTGCCGCAGTACTTTACGCCGTTGACGGTAAGATAGTCGTAGCGGCAATTGTTGCCCTCCACATCAAAGGCGACCATCTCCAGCTCGACCGGCGGCACGCCGCTAATGGTGCACTTCTCGTTGCTGCCGTAGCTGTTCGGGTAGTTTGGCGAAGCGGCGCACGAGCCGCCGTCGGTGAGCGAGCACGGGCTGCTGACGTTGACGGTCTGGAGCGGTGCCGCTGGTGTGCCGCATACGTCCTGCAGGAAGATGAGCACAATGCCAACTCGGAGAGCACGCGCGCTGGAGAGCAAGGGTACGGAGATCGCTGCGTGGCTGCATCCATCCACCCTCTTCTTCCTCACCTGCTGCCCACGCAGCAGCAGCCCACTGCACGCCGCGATGAGCAGCGCCAGTACGGCCGCACAAGGGTGAAGAACGAGCAGCTCCTCGATCTCTGAATGGGCCGCGATTGTGAAGCTCTCCTCGGGTGAAGGGTCGCTGATCTTGGTTGCGCGGGAAGGCTCGTCAAAGGAGGTGAACTCGGCGTCGGCCGCGGCGCCGATGTGCTTGAGGGTCGTCGGGCCGGCGGTGCATGAGGCGGCGCCGGTGGGCTTGGAGAACTTGGTGGGAAAGGAGAAGTTTTGATGGAAGGTGGCGTCCGGCCAGGCACCGAACAGCGCCGCGCCCTCCCAGGTGAGGTCGTCCTCGCGGAGCAGGAGCTCCGCGGCCTTGTTGGGTTCGCACGAGGCGGACGCCGCGAGGGCGAGCGCCGGCGCGTCGGTCGGGCGCTTGACGCAGAAGTCGGTGCGGTTGTGCGTGACGATGAGTGCCTCCCCGTCCCACGTAGGCGGGCGAGTGGCGGCTGAGGGCGTCGCGAGAAAAGCGAGGACGAGCATATGCCGGCGATCAGCAATGCCGGCGATCAGCAATGCCGGCGGAGAGAACAAAAAAATCGGAAATTTTTCGGTGCTGGTAGCCTCCCCAAAACAGGCGCGCGCAGCGCGCCCAGGGGCGCCGCAGGCGCCCCAAGCGGCGCGGTAGGCGGCGGACAGCAGGTGCGCGAAATTAAACGCCATTTTTGGTTCCGCGGTTTTGCCACTAACATTGAAATCCGGTACAAAACGACTTAGCCGAAACAGCTGACAGACAGACAGAGAGCACACACGTTCGAGACGGGGGTGCGCCGACCGCCGTCGCGGACCCAGTAGAGCTAGATGGTCCCACATGATGCGCCCTTAGCCTCTGAGCTCGTCCTAGACATTTTAGGGAAGCGTGGGCAGACCAGAACGCGGCCACGGCGACGCTCCGAGGCTGTCAGCAGCGCTGGCGGCGATCGTGGCGACGGCGCCTCGCCGCTGCAGCGGCACAGAATCGAGGAAGTGGCGTTGGTGGCAGCATCAATGAGATATGAAGGCGGCCGTAATGCTGGTGGCGCCTTCGAGAGAGATTTTTAGCAAAATATTTGTTTTTGTCGCCTTCGAGGGCGGCGGAGAGGGCGGTAGCAGCGACGGCGATCGAGTCATGTGGCAGGGGTGCGAAGTGCACATTGGGCTTTTTGGCCAAAATCGACCAATGAAAATCCGTAGGGTCGCTTAACGGCACCCCCGCGCGGTGCCGAGCGGCCCAGGGCCGGCCAAGGGACTAAACTGGACGGGACCGTGACCGGTTTGTAGTAGTCTACCCCTCAAAACGATTTCTGACCTCTCCCGTGGCCCCGGCGGGCCCCGGCGGAGGTCCGGCGCGGCGCTCCAAATCCGCACTTCGCGAGCTTCTACGGGAGTTCACGCGGCCTCTCCGCCTCGTGAGGCACACCCCACACTCACCACGAGCCCTGGGACTGTGCGCGGATCTTTGGCCGCGGCGTCCGGAGCTTTGGTTGTCGAATATCGGCCGCCAGCTAGGCCATCGAGCGAACGTGTCCGGAAAGGCTCTCGGACGGGTCCGGCAGCGGTGCCATGGACCCAGAAGCTCGCCCCGGCGGAGCACTCACGGCTCGACCCCCGCCCCTGGCCACCCAGACGTGCCCCCGGACCGCCGCAGGAGCGCCGACAGCGGCGATGGTGCTCCGCGACGACGCCCTCCCGACGAAGCCAGATCTGGCGGGCGACTGGCCGGCGGAGCCCGGCGCCTGAGGACGAGGATGGCCGTAATGGACCGGGACGAGCTCTGGGAGGTTCAGTGTCAGTGAGTATATTGTAGAGACTGACTGTGTTCACAATATCTTGACTGAGAGCTAAGCCAGGGGAGGCGATGCCGGGGCCGTACAGCAGCTTGATGGTGCTTCGCCGGCGTGCGTCGCCGCCGCCGCGCCGGCCGCCGCCGGGGCCCCGGTTTGGACTGTGTTTGGGGTGGAGGAGGGGTCCGATGGGCGGCGTGATGGTAGTTTATGGCCCTCCAATCACCCACTCACTGCCACCGGCCGTGGGGGCCTCACGGACGTCGCAGTTTATGATTTCAAAGGGTCCTGCCGTCGCTCAGTCCGAACACCTCACTCTGGGGGGCGCGACCGAGCCCTCCCTGCGCGGACGAGCACATGGTTTGGGACCTGAGCGATGGCAGAGGCCTTCAAAATTGCCCCGTGAGGCCCTGCCGGTTGGGAGTGGTGAGTGGGGGAAATGAGGACCATAAACAAGCACCATATCCCCCACCGCGACCAGCCCACACACAGCCCAAGCCGCTGCCAATTCCGGCCCCGGTGGCCGCCGGCCGGGTGGCTACCGGGGCGCACAAACGGTCCCTCACGAACGCCACACGGGCCACCACGGCCCGTTCCGGCGGCCTGAGTGCCGCCCCGCACCCGCCCGACGCCCTCGGCCAGCCAGCGCCCACTCTGGGAGGCTTCACCGCCGCCAGCGCGCCGAGCGCGCCGCCCTCTCCTCGCGCCGCACGGGCCGTGGCCGCACGCCCGAGAGGCGGCCCATAAATCGAGTCGAGACGCGCCGCCGGCCGGCCGGCTGCTCGCCCGCCACCCGCCGTGCGCCGCCGCCGCCCCCAGCCCGCACTGGAGAGGCTCTCACGGCCGCTAGCCGCTGTCGCGTCGCCCGGCGGCTGCGCTGGCAGCAGTGCTCGCGACGGCGGCGCCGAGTTTCCCCGAGCGGAGCACGGCCAAGGGTCTGAGACGCGGGGAGGGCGGGGCGGGAGGTCCTCGTGGGGGCGTGGGGGCGCGGAGGCGGCGTGCGGGGACGCGCGGAGGGCGGTGGGGGTGTGTGGGAGGTGGGCGAGGGAGAGCTGAGGCGGCCGGTGGTGGTGGCGGGAGCAGCGGAGGCGACGGCGTCGGAGGGGGTGGGGGGGGAGGAAACGGCGGCGGCTCTGGCGGAGACGGCGGCGGCGGCGAGGGCCTAGCCTGAGGGGGAGGGGGTGGGGGAGGGGATGAGGAACGGTGAGGGCGGCTGGGACGGCCGGGAAGGCAACACAGGCGAGGCGCGGCGCACCTCAAACTCGAGCGAGTAGCGGGAATATCACCCGCTGCTCCGGCGGGAGATTGCTCCCCCGCCGCCCCCTGGGTCACCCCGAGTGACCTCGCAGCCCACGCCGTGAGGCGCTGCTGTCAGAGGGGTTTATCACCGCCGTATCCACCCCACACTGGCCGCCGAGGGGCCCGGCGGGCTGAGGCGCGCGAGGCGGCTTGGGCACCCGTGGGTCGGATGGATCCGTCCCGGCACGTTGTCCCGCGGCGTGGCCGTGTAGCTGGCACCGGAGTCATGACGCACACGCCTACTTGCGGCACGAGGGAAGGCGTGACGCGTCGTAAACGGCCGAGATGGGCAAACGCGAGGGTCTCAAAAAGCCAGCCCGAGGCTGAAAGGGTGACCGCGGACGATGAGGGCGACGATTCATCGCGGCTACTGAGCAGGCAAGGTCCGGACCTACAGGATGGAGGGGCGAGTAGTGAGAGTCGGGACGATATCTTCGCGTCGGGGGTCGGAAATCGCGTCGGGAGGCCAAAATCCAGATCGGGCGCCGAAGCGCAGTTAGTGTTGGTGTGGCGGTCTCGTCGAGTTCTGGCCCGCGAGCGTCCTACAGCAGTCGTCTCATGTGATGAGATGGTCGCGGAGCGGTCGCCAGGACCTTGGTAGTGCCTGCATCGCGTGCGCCGGCCCTCGGCGAGCCCTCCCGAGGCCTCTCACGCCGCCAGCCGGGGGACGGCAGCCGTTGGGATGGTGCCCTCGCAGCTCGCCGGCGCGGCGGGGGTGAGGCGAGTCTCGCCGGATGCGCCCGACAGCGGGAATGGCCGGCCGGCATCCTGCCCGCCACGGCGGCGGCAAGCTGCGACTCAAGGCCGAGCAGGTGCGGCGACTTTTTGCCTTCTCGACACTCTTGCGAATCCACTCGGGGAAAAGGTGTGTAGACCCCATAGCTTAGCAAAGACATACATAGCTTAGCAAAGACAAAGACATACATAGCTTAGCAAAGACAAAGACATACATAGCTTAGTAAGCTTAGCAAAGACAAAGACGTACATAGCTAGCTTAGCAAAGACAAAGACATACATAATGGGGCCGCAACGAATCGCCAATCGCGCCGAAACGCCAAAAGTCCAAAGTTACCGACGGACGCCGCCGGCGCGCCGCCGGCGTACTGCTCTCCTATTTCGAGGATCACCAACGGAGTCATGGCCGGCACTCGCAGTCGGCACGGCGTAGCCCCGTTGCTGTCGCTTTCGCCGATGCTGACGCTGCTCATCTGCCCCTCTGTCGATGCTGTCGTCTATCAGGGGTCTGGCAATCGGTGCTCCGCCTGGTACCGTGGATCTTGGCAAGGGCTGGGAGAGGGGCGGCAAGCGACGGGCGGGTCCGCGACCTTTTGAGCGCCCATGAGCTCGCCGGGACGTCGCGGATGGCTCGGCGCGCCTCTTCCCGCCAGCGCGGGACGGCCTGCCTACAGGAGGGAGGGGGGGGAGACGGAACTGAGCCCTAGGTTCGTGATCCTGTCGCCGGCAAGGGCTGGGAGAGGGGCGGCAAGCGACGGGCGGGTGAGCGACCTTTTGAGCGTGTGGTGGTGTACCTCAACCAAGACTTCGCCGGCGGGCAGACCGGCTTCTGGACCAGTCACGACGCGCCGGGCAAGAAGGAGCACTGCCGATTCCTGCGCGACTGTGAGGCCAAGCCGCACGACCTGGTGGTGACGCCCGCGACGGGCATGGCCTGCTGCATGGACCAAAACTTGCTGCACGAGGGGCTGCCCGTGACGGCCGGCGTCAAGTACGTGCTGCGCACCGACTTTGTGCACGAGCGCGCGCTGCCGGCGCCCCACCCCAAGCTGGCGGGCCGGGGTGGTGGTGGAGGCAATGCCAGCCCGCCCCCTGACGGCGCGTCTGAGTGGGAACGGCTGTTTGAGACGAGCTGCAAGAATTACGCGGACTAACGCGGACTGATCATGGACCAACAAGTGCTTATTGCGCATGCGCGGCCGGGGCGGCCTAGCTTCCCGAGCCGCGTGCCTATCTAGCTCCTTGGCGCCGTCCTTCTCGGCCCGCCGGCCGGGCCGGCCGACCGACGGCCTCGCTGTTCCAATCTTGGCACTCGGTGCCCTCGGCGTGGCCCAACACGCCCGCAAACTCGGCCGACCGACGGGCCGAGGCGACGTACGGCATGTGTCACTGTGGGCATGCATATGTGTGCACGTCGCCCGTGACCGACCACTGCACCGGGCGGGGGTGAGGTCGCGGCGGGCCGGGCGGTCCCGCCCGGCGTAGAGTCTACTAGACTCTAGCTACTAGCTACCAGTACTGACGTACAGTACTGTTGAAGGATAGTAATAAGGCAGGGTGGTCGGAGGGCGCCCGGAGACACTGTATAGAGTCTACAGGTGCCGGCCCGCGCGGCGGCCGGGCCGGCGGGCCGGCGCCGGGCCGGTGCCGCAGCGGCAGCCGAGGCCCGCGCCTTTTAGACTAGGTCCAGCCGCCCTGGGTGAGCCGGGTTGTGACATTTGGCGATTCCGCGGCTTACTGGGTCCCTGAGCCGCTCCCCGTGTGTGCGATTCTTGTGGCGTTGTGGCCCAGGCATGGTACTGATAGTAAACGGGTCAGAACCGGCCAAACACAGGCTACAGCCCCACACACGCGCCCGCCATAGCTCCTGGAGAGCATGCGCGAGTGACGCGCTACAAGCCGCGAGAGTGGCATCAGAGGCAGGAACGACGTGCTCTTGCTGCATCTCGCAGCTGCACCAAGTGTGTGCTCGCAGTGTATGCCACGGCCGCCGCCTGCGGCATTGCTCTCGTGCAGCTAGGCGACGCAGGTCTCCATCAGCAGGGCTCATCCAATGCGAGCGCACATGTGCGTAGCCGCGGGCAGGTGGCAGTGCACAGCCGCACACCGGCTGTGGCGGCTCGAATGCCCCCGGCAGCAATGCTGGTCATTAACTTGCGTATTGGGGCCGCAGCAGACTGCTGCTGTGGCAACAGCAGCAGCCTGCTGCTGCCTGATTCAGTCAAGCCAGCGGTGCAGCGAGGCGTGCAGAATTCGCGCGGTTTGGTACCTCCTGAGGCTGAGCGCGTTCAGACCCGGTGACCGGAGTTGGATGGTTCGATGGAGCTCGGCGAGCTCCATCGAACCATCCATGGCCGGACGGCGGAGCGTGAGGTGGCGAGCGGAGAGATGTACCGCAAGACGAGAAAACACGGATTGTCAACGGCCCCTTATGGGCCGTCGAAGAGGCCGTCATACTCCTCCGGCGTCGCCCCCCCTTCCAAACCAAGGAAAAGAAACCAATGAAGGTCGTCCTAATCCGCGCTCGCGGGGCTCTTCGCGCCGCAGGCTCCCTCGCTGCAGCACACACAATGCTTCTCCGCGCCGGCCTCAGCCTGATGCTCGCCTCCTCCCCGCCGCCGCCGCTCGGTCTCGCGACGGAGCTGCTCCTCTCCGCCTCCGACTCAATGGTCGCCGCCGCCGCCGTCCTCGGCGAGAACCAGCGACAGGAGGAGGAGCCTGGCCGGCTCTCGGCTTGCGGCTGCGCGCTCGGTAACGCGGCGCGCGAGCTGGAGCTCTTTGCGCACGAGGTGTGCGTAGCGCGGGAGTGGGAGTCGGCCACGGCGCCGCTCGCCGCCGCGGCAGCCTGCCTCTCCACCGCCGCAGCCGCTGTGGACGGCTTCTTGGATGACGGCGACGCGCTGCAGGCAAACCGCGACGCGAGACCGCAAACTTTCCCCCACCCCGCCAGCGAGATCGCGCCTCTTGACCTCCCGCTCCGCTCGCCCAGTAGTGTGCCGCCGACGAGCTCGAGGACGCGTCGTCAGTCACCGGATGCATCATGCTGGCCGCCGCCGCGGGGCCAAACTTGGACGCGGCGGGCGGTCACCTCGCGGCTGCCGGTAGCGCCGTCGCGGCGCACGGCGGCGGCCTCGCAGGAGGTGTGACGGCCGCGCACGCTGAGGCGGGGGCGCGCCTGCAGGGCGCGGGCGGGGCGATGGAGCAGGCGGGCCGGGCGCTGGCGCAGGCCGGGAGGCATCTGGAGGAAGGGGTGAGTTGATAATAAAGAAAAGACGACTACGCCGGCTAGTCGCCGACCACCACCCACATAGAAACCTTGCCAACTTGGAGGCACTTTGGAGCACTTGGAGTGCAGTCATCAACCTCACATCCAGGGCCGGGGAGCTAAGAACAAAGAAGCGCACGCCCCGCGGGCCGGATGATCGGTATCGGGCTACGCCTACGGGCTAGAGAGCCCTGACCCCTAGCTAGGGGGGGTGCGCGTTCGCAGGGAAAGGGCCGTAAAGTAAACACGGGTCTCCGAGGGTTGGCTCCGCGCTCCGGGTTTCCCCTATAGCTTGCAGCTCGCGTCTTTTTTACTTTTTTTGTGCTTGGCTCCTCTCGTCGGACGCGCTGTGCGGCCCAATCTCACACTGGCGAGTCGCCCGTCCGCCGTATGGACGCCTCCTCTTCCTCCTCCGAGGCGCGCGCAGAGCGCACACCTCTCATGCTCGCGGCGATGCGTGGCCACCTCTCCGAGGCCGTCAAGCACGCCCTCTCGGGCGCCGACCTGCACCAGCGGGACGCGACCGGCCGCACGGCACTCGAGCTGGCGGTCGAGGCGGAGAAGCGCGACACTGCGCTGGCGCTGCTCCTCATCGCGACGGCAAAGTTCACCAAGCCGCTCCCCTCTCCGCTTCCCGTGCCGCTGCTCCAGCGGCTCCAGGGCTGGCTCGGCCAGGCTGGCGCCGAAAAGGAGAATGCGATGGGCGTGCTGCTGCAGCAGTACCAGGGCCACCTCGCGCGCGGGCCGGCGCTGCCCGCCGACGCTCCGCCGCAGATCGCGGCGGCCGTGGTCGAGATGCTCGCTTGGGCGGCGAGGCACGGCTTGTGCGCGCTGATTGACCGTCTTGTGGAGGTGCTTACGCAGCACGCCGGCGGCGCCTTGCCCCTGCCGCTGGTGGCGTGCGCCCGGTCGAGCGGCGGCCTGACGGTGCTCCACGCTCTCGTGATGTGTGGAAAGGGCGCCGCAGTCACCGCGCTGCTCGCCGCGCTGCCGCCGCATGCTGCGGCGAGCCTGCGCGAGTGCCGCGACTTGCGAGGCCGGAGCGCCGCTCAGGTCGACTCGTCCGCCGTGCCACCCTCGCTCGCCGCCGCCGTCGCCTCCGCCGCCGCCGCAGCGTCAGCGCCGCCGGCGGCGGCGGCGGCGTGCCCCTTCCCTCACGCCGCTCCTCGCGTTGAGTCGATGCCGCCGCCTCCGGCTCCGCCGCCGCGCTTCCCGTGCTCGGCGGCGTGGGCCCCAAAGTACCGTCCGGTGGCGGCGGAGCAGCCGGCGGCGTGCAGCGGCGTGGCGACGGGCGGGCTCATTCCCGGCATGGCGGCCTGCGCCGTTTCGGCTGCGGCGGGCGGCGGCGGCGCGAACACAAACGCGTGCGAGGCGGCGGCGCTGCTCGAGTTTGCGGCCGCGTCGTCGCACTGGCCGCCGCCGCCGCAGCCCGTCTGCAGCGGCGCGGTGCCCGCCGGCGGCGCGACATTCGCGATCGGCGCGTCGCCCGCGGCGCATGCCCGCTGCGCGCAGCAGCCGCGCCGCTGCTCCGGCCGCGCAGGCGGCGCGGGTGGGCGCGCCGCCAGCCGCCGCGGCGCGCGTAGCAACAGCGGCGCCGCCGCCGCCGCGTCGTCGTCGTCGTCCTCCTCCTCCTCGGGCGGCGGTGCCGCCGGCGCGGGGTCGGGTGCGTGGGTGTCGGAGGCGGGCTGCACGTGCGCTCTGCTGCCGTCGGGCACGGAGCACCTGCCGCCGGGACGGCAGCCGGGCGAGCTCGCGGGGTGGGAGCCGATGGCGGGCGAGGACTCGCGTCGTGCGTTTGGGGAGCAGCGCGAGGCGCTCCAGCACACCGAGGCCGTGGTGCAGTCCCTCGTGTCCAAGGACGCGGCGATGCAATACCTGTCCCAGCTCGGCGGCGGCGGCGGCGGCGGCGCGATGGACTCCTCGCCCGAGCAGCAGCGGCTGGTCAAGACGGTGAAAACGACTCTTGAGATGCCGAGAGGCACAGCCGAGAGGCAGCCGAGAGGCACAGCCGAGAGGCAGCCGAGAGGCAGCCGAGAGGCAGCCGAGAGGCAGCCGAGAGGCAGCCGAGATAGCGGTGAGACAACGGATGAGTCCGCGCGAGCCAACTCAACCCGCAGCGCTCCCCGCAGTGCTCCGTGAGCAGAGCCAGCTCTAGCTCATCACCCACTCAGCTGAGTGAGTTGGACGACGGACTCCTCCTCCTCCCGTACTGAAAGCTACGAGCCGACGACTGAGATTGACCGAACCAGGTGGACGACTCCGCTGTCGACTACTACAACACCGACTGCGGCACCGGCTCGCTGGCGGGGGGCGAGGGGCCGGAGCGGTCGACGCAGTACAAGCGGCTGGCGACCTGGGGTGGCTTCCGGCGGCACCACCACACAAAGCAGGCTCGTCATATCTCGGCCAATCTCGGCTCCTCTCGGCTCCTCTCGGCTCACCTCGGCTCCCCTCGGCTCCTCTCGGCTCCTCTCGGCTCCTCTCGGCTACTCTTGGCTGCTCTCGGCTACTCTCGGCCACTCTCGGCTACTCTCGGCTCCTCTCGGCTCCTCTCGGCTCCTCTCGGCTCCTCTCGGCGCCTCTCGGCTCCTCTCGGCTCCTCTCGGCTCCTCTCGGCTCCTCTCGGCTCACCTCGGCTCCTCTCGGCTCATCTCGGCGCGACCGCACCGAGCAGGCGCGCGCGCGCGACGGCACGGCTGGCACGCCTCCGATGAGCGACCGCGAGGACTCGGAGGGCGGCGACGGCGCCCCCGCGATCGCGCAGGCAAAGGCGCGCGAGCAGGCCGTGCGCGTCCGTGTTCTCTTGTCCGCTCGTTGCGCCGCGTTCGTTGTCATTGCTCACGCTCACGCCGTTCCGCGATCAGGCGGCGGGATCGTCGCGCTCCGCTGTCATCGGCGCCGCGGCAGCGGCGGCGGCGGCGGGCACCGCAGGGTCTCGCGACGCGCTGCGAACGGCGCTCCACCAAAACAGCGTCGAGGCCGAGGCGCTCCGGGCGCGGCTGCGGCAGCTAGAGGAGGAGCGGCGGCAGCTGGAGCAGCTGCTCGGGTGATTGGTGGGGGGCGCGGTTCGTTGGTGGGCCGGTGGGGAGGAGGCAGAGGGCGGCGCGCGGCGCGGGCGGCGCGAGAGCCGAAACGACGTGTTAGATCCATGCGAAGCGTGTTTGTCAGCGAGAGGAGGGGGGAATCCGTGGGTGCATGTGCTGTCTTGCTGCCATGGTTTATAATAGAGTTTGGCAAGAGTGCCATGTATCACACTGATCTTTCTAAGGAGATAAGAGATACACCAGAAAGAAGCTCGCCTTGCAGTGGCTAGTGCCATTTGCATTTCACTGTGGCACAGCTCGCGTTAGAGCCGTGCCGTACTGCGTACAAAGCCCCTTGGATTGTGACCCCACATTTGCGCAAAAAGGTGCATGCACATACACATGTCGGTGCCTTCCAGAGGCAGCTGCGACCCCGCCGAGTGCGCGTCGGACACGGAGCGCATCGTGAAGATGAGGTGGGCGGGGGGGCACGGCGGCGTGGCGGAGGCGAGCGAGGGCGAGTGGATGGAGAGAGGGGAGGAGCGAGGGCGGTGTTGAGCTTCTCGGTGGCGAGTAGCCGGCTGAAGCGGCTCTGAGATTTCATGTCGGCGAGGAGGTGGAGGCGATGGAGGGAAGCATGTTATTGTTCCTATTGTCGCGGCGTGTCTCGCCGGCAAAAACAGATTTCACGATATATTGGCATGGCATATTGCGCGCGGCGCGCGGTCCGCGGAGGGCGGTAGGGCTTTCGACAAAACCGACATTCATAGTGATTCTCGATACATATACCCGATATACTGTTGAAAGATAGTAACAGGGCACAAGATGAGACACATCTGCTCATCACACCGGTCCCCGGGAGGGCAGCAGAGAGCAGTCCAGAGACGTAGGCTGACAGCGCTGCTGGCCCCGTATCGGAAGCGAGCCGGCCACAAGCGCTTACGCTCCGAGCCACCGCTGCACGCACGCTAGACTAGACTGCCACAAATCAATCAGACACCTCCTCAGTCCTCACCAAGTACCCCCCCCCCCCCCCCCTCACGCACAGTCAGTGTTCAGCGCTCACTCAAGGATTGGCCCAATACCTCCAGCTTTCGACCAGCGGCACCGGGCCAAGGCCCGCGAATGCAGGGTTGGTCGGAGATGATCGATACCTTCCTTCCCGTGAAATTCCTGTGTGGTGGCGTCGTGCCGTCCTCCCATCGGCCCTGGATGTGAGGTTACCAACTGCACTCCAAAGTGCTCCGGCATGATGACCGGCTGGCGAAGAAGGAACGATAAATCAGCCTCCCAGGTTTGACGAATGAGCGATTGTCCTTCGTTGTGGGTCTCGTGAGCTTGCCCTTGCTTGCTTGTCCGTTCTCGACCGTCCGTGTGGCTCTACGGGAGCGTCGGCTTGACCGTGATCACCTCGTAGGAGAGGTCCTTGATCTCCACCGTCTCGCGCTCGCCCGTGGGCTGCAGGTACGTCAGCGGTGGGAATAGGTACTCTGCCTCCACGGGAAACGCAGAGAGAAAGGAGATGTCCGGTCCGCGAGAGATGAACGCGTCGGTGACGAGGCGAAGCAGCACCGAGTTCGAGCTAAGTGAATACCGCATAGCCACCGTGAGGTCGGAGGTCGTCGACATGGGCGCTAGTTCCTGATCAGATGGCAATGCGCCCAGGGGTGTCATGGTGGGGGGGCGATGGTGACGACTGACCCACATCGTGGAGGCGACACCGTGCCCCCCTCCTTCATAAAATCGTCGGGGGACTTGACGTCCTTCATCCCGCGGTAGAGCTCGACCTTGTCTAGGGCCTTCTTCCCAGCTTCGACCGCGCGGAGCTTGCCCAGCGCTTCCGCGATCAGGGCCACGGTGACGGGTAGGGGGTGTGGCTCGCCGCGCTGGTAGCGCCCTTGGTCGCGCAGTGGGTTATTGATTGACCGGAATGCCTGGGTGGAGGCGGGGAGGGGTCGGCTCTCGTCGATGGCTTTGAACGTGGTGTGCGGTGCGTACCGCGGTCGTGTAGAGCCGAAGGGCGACGAGATGTGCCTTTGTCAGATGCGCACAGCGAGCGTGAGGGTGAGCGACAAACTCGTCGATTGTCATGCCACGAACCCCTCCATGGCCCTCCACGCGGGCGTCACCGATCTGACGGTCCGGATGCAGTTGGCCATGCTCGTCGCAGTCGCGCTTGAGGCCGTCTTGGAAGGTCACCTGACTAGAGCCCGCCTACGAGACAGACAAGACGAGGTGAGCCCACCCACCCTTGAGGCAAGGGAGTGGCATGTGAGCGCCTCTGCGTGCAGAACGTAGTCGAGGCACTCGATGTCGGACTCCTTACCATGGGCTCGAATCTCGCGCTCAATCGCAGCGACCCCCTTCATCTTGGTCGTTTGGAGCTCAGCCTCCGAGACCCGCATATAGTGTGACACGCCTTGAACCGATGTCGCAGCCCGGCCATAAACCAGTTCGAAAGGCTTGGAAGCGAAGCGGCTGTCTGCCTTGCTGCATTGGAGGTGACCCTCCTCCTCCAGGCGTGTAGCGACAGCTCGCATCCTGGTCCGAATGCTCGGCCTAGTGCTCGGCTCCGCGAGCGCCCTCGAACGTCGTCTGCACCAAAGAACTCCAGCGGTCGAGAAGAAAATCAGCAAGCCGACCCCTCCTCCGGCGAGACCACCGGCGAGATCCCCAGGAGTCCCTGACGAAGCGACGCCATCGCCGACGTCTACCGGCGGTGATGGCGGCGGTGATGGCGACGGCGGAGGCGGCGGCGGCGGTGATGGCGACGGAGGCGGCGGCGGCGGTGATGGCGACGCAGGTGGCGGCGGAGGCGACGACGCGTAAGAGTTCGCGCAGTCGGCGCCAAAGGGGTAGTTCCCGCAACCGGTGCCGATAGGATAGTCGTCATCCACCGCGGCGCGGCAGCGTCCGTCATCGGTGCACCTGGGATACTGCGACGAGCAGAAGCATCCAGAAGGTCCGGGAGGCGGTGATGGCGACGAAGGCGGCGAGTATGGAGGGTAGGCCGGAGGCGACGGTGAAGACGGCGGTGGAGGCAAGGGCGGCGGCAATGGCCCTCTCGGCACGCACTTGCAGACGGCGTCCGAGCTGGGAAAGGGCTGAGTGCATGTCGCCCGTTGCTCTTCCGCTGATAGCTGCAAGAGGGCAAGATATCGAGAATCGGTGAGGCTACATGTCTCGCCGACCCAGTCGTCCCACTGCAGCGCACAGCGCAGCGGGGCATGCTGCTGGTTGCTGCAAAAAGTCTCACAGTTGGTCTCTCCCTCTGTCAGGACAACCGAAGCACATCGCAGTGAATCATCTGCGGTGAAGTCACACTGCTTGTCACCATCCGTGCCAGTCCAGTTCCTCGCGTCACACGCGCCTGCCTGCGGGAGCCAGGCGAAGGCGACGAGAGCGCTCCACATCGTGGGGCTACACGGACACGCACAAGGTGGGTCGGCAAAACGAAAGGAACAACTGTTGGACGCGCGCGAAAGTACGATCGAGCGATCGGCTTTGATCGCGAACGAAGGTAACGAGCGCAACAGTCGGCGGCTAAGGTTTGAGCGGGCTCGGCGCTCGCTCAGGAACCTCCACGAGCGCGTGCGTGCTGAGAGAGTAACTAGTCGGGGCAGAGGTGGGTAGGTATTGGCCCGCAGAGGTGTGTGTTTGGTATTGCTAAACAATCTCTCTCCTGATTGCGCGCCAGTCCTCGACAGACACTCTCTCTCACACACACTGTCCTGTGTCGTGAGAGATGGACGAAAAATTCTTTTTGCGCAGCGGCGCCGCCAGGCGCCCGCCCCGGCGGTGAGCGACGCGTAGCGCTCAAGGTCCGGCCGGAAGACGAGCTCGATGTCCCGCCGCAGCAGGCGCGAGGGGCGGTGCACCGAGTACTCAAGCTTGCTTGCAGATAGCCTCGTGGGCGGCACGAGCGTCTCTGTCGGCTGGCTCGGCATGATCCGAGCGAGTGCTGTGGCGACGACGAGAGCGCTGTCCCTCGGAGCGACTCGCGAAGAAGAAGAAAAACCGCAGGAAGAAATTCCCGCCGCACCGTCTCACACAGCCCGCCCTACGCTGAGTACGTCGCGCGCATCTCCGAGCTCGGCGCGTCGACAGAGGCGTCCGAGGCCGCGCTGCTCGT